ATCACACGGGTGCACACCAAAACACTCGACCTGAGACCTTCTTGAAGAGGTGGTCTTGGTCCAGTTACAAACAAACTCTGGTGCGGTTCAGTTGTGGTGAGAACATGTTGTGACCTCGATCCGAATCAACTGCAGTCGCATTAAGCATAGTTTGGTTAAAACAAGCATGAGCATGTTACAGTCCTGGAGGATTATTAATGTGCACCTCCTCCTGTAATGGTCCGCTTGTAAATGCTGCTGTGAGAGCATGAACCAACTCTAGCCAATTATACAACTTCATAAAAAATGAGTCCCTGATTCGGACCAAAGCAACACAAGTCTAGGTGTTAAGGAAACCTAAGTGAAACTTTTCTATACTCTACTCAAAGCCAGACTCCATTAATTCTTTTAAAGAGATGGTTCGTATTCACTGAAGTCACACAATAAAACAAACTACTGATCTTGGCAGCAGTAGACCAGCATCTCCCATGTTCAGCGAGGTAAAATTGCTGTTTTTGACAATGGAGTCTGGCTTTGAATAGAGCATTGATAAGTTTCACTTAAGTTCAGTTTTAAATACTAAGGTTTTCGGAAAATGCATGTGGTGGAAGTAACCTACAGAGCATATGTCTGGATAAATGAGACTTGGAATATACTGCACGAGTTATGTGAGAGTTTGTAAACGCATGTTTTGATATAGTTTTACTGTTGATACATGCCGACCCCTTTGACTTTAATTCATCAAGACTTTTCTTTGTTTTTGGATTCTGTGTTCACCATAGCAGTATGCGAGAGAAAAAGTTTTCCTCAGGAATTCAAAGAAGCATGGGGTGAGTAGCTGATATACACACGGTCATTTAGGGGTTGAAGTATTCCTCTAATTAATGATCATATGTTAACAATGCATATGAGTAATGTAGACAGTTTTTGCTTGTAGTGACGAACTTACCGACAATTGTCACCTGACTCTTAAAGATAACAAAGCGTTTTAAAGTCTTTCGGCTCATTCTATCAGTTTTAAGGCCCGTACACTTTAGGCTAGGACAGCAGACACCCAAACTTTGTGTGGCCATTTTGAACAGGTCCAAACACCTTTGCCTTAGGATGTGGTCAAGTGACTCATTGTACACGTAAATTATTTGAATCATACACTTACATCCATCCTTTCTGCAATACTGCTGAAGTTTGAAAGCTTCTTCACCTTAATGACACTGAGTCTTTGACTTTTGTCTGGTTGTTGGATGGGACGATTTAAACTCTTAAAAAGAGCAATAAAGTGGAGTGGAAGGGCCTGAGCTCTTGCTCTCAGTTTTTCAATGAAATGTCTAAACACAGAGTTCAACATCAAGAAACTCCACTCAGTGAAGATGCAGACTGATGTCAAGGATGCTGCACAGTTCAAGAACTCAACTCCAAATAGAGGTGGTCCAAGGGCTTTGATCCCTGGAGAAGAGGCAACAGCAGGAGCAGTTATAACCAAATAGTTAAAGTATCTGTGGAATAAGAAAAAGTTGCAGTACTGATGTTAGTAGCACTATCCTGGTTAGAAATGGGAGTGGCTGAGAGTATTAGTGTGGCTTGAAATGCCAGTGGGTGGTGCAGCTCATACCACCTTTAAAATTGTTTGCAAGAGACAGAAGACAGAAATGACATCAAAGGTTTCTGTGCAGCAGGAGGGCACCGTGTGGGAACAAGGTCAAAGTATCCAGCATCACACGTTCTGGAGAATCCATCAAGCCTGACCTTCACAAAGAAGGTCCTGGACTGGATACCCGCTGAGCTCTGTTCGGCAGTCACCTAATCCGTGGAGTGGGCCACTCTAATTTAACCCGTATGCCCAGTGGTTGGCTCTGCCCTGCCCTCCTCTCCTTCCTTTCCATTCACAATGGTGAACCTCCTTCCAGTAACCCAAACCTTCTTACCTCAGTGACTCCTTCACCTCGGAGCACAAAAGACCCTGTTCAGCCCTCCTGCCCTCAATCCCACTTCATAATGCAATGGGGCAGATCAAGGGCAGATCAGAATACCAGCCATGCAGCCAGGTCCTGTTTACGCAGCGAGGTGCTAGGTGCGATCTATACAATGCAACCGCATCCATCTTCCAACCTCGGTCTGACCTTGCATTAGTGAACATCTCCAAGCTCAGTGACAACAGTTTGGCCGTGGCCATGTTCACTGTTGAAATTACACAGAGGTTCACAGCTCTACCCAGAAACTGCTGTGACTTTTCCAGCAAAGCTTTCTTATCCACATCTTAATGCAGCGTATCTGTTAAAGGATAACTTCAGTATTTTTCAACCTGGGCCCTATTTCCCCATGTGTATGTGTGCGTATGATTCATGGGTTCAACTCATTCTAAAATTGGTTCAGTATTGAGGGAGGCAGATGCAGCCAGGAGCCGCGAAACGAGCTAAAATGGTAATGGGGGCAAATGCATCCCGTATAATATTTCGGGGCGGCAGTAGCTCAGTCCATAGGGACTTGGGTTGGGAACCGGAGGGTCGCCTGTTCGCCGTCCGGACCAAAATATGAAGCGTGGACTGGTAGCTGGAGAGGTGCCATTTCACCTCCTGCGCACTGCCGAGGTGCCCCTGAGCAAGGCACCGAACCCCCCAACCGCTCGGAGAGCCTGTCATGGGCAGCCCACTCTGACATCTCTCCACTTAGTGCATGTATAGGTCCAGTTTGTGCATGTGTGTGTTCGGACCTGTGTGTAATTGACAACAGAGTGAAAAATTGAATTTCCCCTCAGGGATTAATAAAGTATATAAAATTAAAAATTAAAATTAAAAATAAGTTTGCGCATTAAAAGTGCTTTTTTTCGCCACTGACCGGTTCAGCTCGCCAGTGCTATCTCTGTAGATAGCATATTGTAGCGGCCCTGGGGCAGTGGTGAGTGTGAATGAGTGGAGTCAGCTGTCAGTCAGTGTTGGAGCAGAGAGGGGGAGGGCTGCCCCGCTGGGTACTGTAAGTGAGTATGTGTGTATGAAGTGTGTGTGTGTTACGCTAGAAGAGTCAGAGTTTGGGATGGAGTCTTTTACGTGCTACCCCCTGGAGTGTTACCGGAGTTTTTGGAGTGCTCAAATAAATGGGCCTTTTTCCCGAACGCAAGAACAGGATGTCACGCAACACCCCATACAGCTTTCATAGGCTGCCTTTGTCAGACGGCGCGATGCTGAAGTTGTGGCTAGTTGTGCTACAAATGGATGCTAACCATCGGGTCTGCAGTGCTCACTTCTCCCAAGATGACTACTGCCAGCAGAAGAAGAGAAGACATCCAATCCCGAAACACCTCTTCTTCAAGAAAACGGCTGTCCCACGAGTAGAGAGAGCTACAGACACAGTGGAGCAAAGCTTGTGACATCACACAGCCCAGAGGTAGGGGAAAGGCTAAGTTAGTATGCTATTTACAGAGATAGCACTGGCGATCTGAACCGGTCATTGGCGAAAAAAGCACTTTTAATGCGCAAACTTATACGGGACGCATTTACCCCCGTTACCGTTTTAGCTCGTTTCGCGGCTCCCGGCTGCATTCGCCTCCCTCAATACTGAACCAATTTTAGAACAGGTTGTACCTATGAATCATACGCACACATACACATGGGGAAATAGGGCCCAGGTTGAAAAATACTGAAGTTATCCTTTAACAATACCCTCTAATAGTTACATTGAAATCATCGAGAAATTTCCATGTAGAACCCACATGCAAAACAAGACTAAGAAATGCAAACGGCTCTTTAGCCCCGTTTCCACTGAGCAGTACGGTACAGTCTAGATCAGTTCGGTATACTTTCATTTGTTTCCACAGTGAAAAGTTGTGGATGGTACCAATGGAAACGTTCCGTACCGTCCCCATTTTTGGTCCCCTCTCTGTTGGGGTACCTTGCACACAGATCTGGCACTTAAAGGTGGAGCTGTGAACACTGCAGTGAAAACATGTTTACAGCCTGGTACAAGAAAGATTTTGGTCTTTCTAGCTAATTTCAATGTTCATGACAACTGAAAGGGGGTGAATCTTTATATAACTCACCTGTTTAAAAGGCGTTAAGTTACACATGATTTAGGGCATGGTTGCTTTGAGTGACAGGTTGTCTGTGGATTGTGTCCACAGGTTCTCTCAGTAAGACACACCCCTCACTCATCCACAGCTCAACCCTCTTGTCCAGGTATACCCCTCACCACCAAAATTAGCTCATGTATGTGGGTTTTTTAAACAAGGAAAAACCTGCTAAAAATAGTTGTTTGACTCCTTTCCTATTGTCAGTAGACCAGAGCTGTATGGAGACGTATTTTGACCACCACCATTCATTCTGTGGGAAACGTGAATGTCTGAAATTTCATGACAATCCATCCAGTAGTTGTAAAGACATTTGATCCTGATCAAACAATGCCAATCTGCTGTTTTTTTGTTTTTGTTTTTTTTCCCTTATCCGCTGCGAGGGTCCTAAGGACAGAGGGATGGTGTATGCTGTAAAGCCCTGTGAAGCAATTGTGATATGTGATATTGGGCTTTATAAATAAAATTGAAATTGAAATTGAAGTAAATGCTTAAAAGTAGTCAAGGGATCGCTAACCATCGTCCATCGTCTGGGACATAGCATGACCTAAAAGACCTTAAAGAAAAAGTCGACTTTATGTTGGTACTGGAGGAAAAGTCAGCAAATCATCAAAGTCACTGGGAATCATCCTTTGGTAATCATGAATGTCTGTACAAAATTAGGTCTTCATCCATCCAACAGACACTGAGATACTTCCCCGGATAAGTGAGAACTTTGACCTGCTGTTGGAGGACTGATTGTCTGTGCATCAGAGAGATCAAATATCATGCAAATCCATTAAGTAGTCGTCGAGCCATTTCACTAAAATCCAGAAGGGTCAACCCCATGGTGGCACTAGTGAATCAGGGAATCACCAAAGAAAGTCAGGATTTATTAATCCTGTCATTAATATTGAGATACAAATTGGATAAGCTCCTTAACACTCCTGAAAGACAGACTTAACTTGAGCAATATCAAGAACACCTTTATGCTTTCTTTGGCTCCCAAACCCTAAGAGGAGGGTCCTTGATGGTGACAGTGTTTTGAGGGGTGGGTGGTGGTGGTGGTGGTGGTGGTGGTGGGTTGCACAGATATCCCACACAGGATTAGAGCCACGCTGCTGGAAGAGGAGGAGGGGGAAAATAGAGGGAATGCCCCAGAAACGCAACACCGCCTGACACGTATGGAATGGACTCTTTGCAGCTCGTCTAAGACGCCTGCCAGAACGAGAGGAGATCTGCAGAATCCCATCTTCTCCACGGCCAAGCATTCAGCCTGTGAAACGGAGCTGTACATGCTGAGCACATGTATATTCTGCCTGTAACATGAGCGATGTCCCACTCTATACCTTGTCTTTCAGTCAAGACTCTGAAATGCTCTACACAGTAGTTTACATGTAAGCAGGCCAATATACACTGTGTTTTATGCAGAACATTATGATGTTACAATGAAGCTGACCTTTGACCTTTTGGACATTAAAAATGTCATCACTTCATCATTTTATCCTATTAGACAATTGTGTGAAATGTGTGTTATAGTTAGCATAAGAATTCTTGATTTATGGTCAAAAACATGTTCTGTAAGGTCACTATGACCTTGAACTTTGACCTTTGACCATAATATTCCAATCAATTCATAGTACAAGTGGTCGTTTGTGCCAAATTTGTGGAAATTCCCTCAAGGCCTTCTTGAGATATTGTGTTCATGAAATGAGACGGATGTAAGGTAAGAGTGACCTTGACCTTTGACCACCAAAATCTAATTAGTTCATCCTTGAGTCCAAGTGAACATTTGTACCAATTTGAAAAAAATCCCTCAGGGTGTTCTTGAGGGTTATTATATAACTAGAGTATGGCCAAAAACATATTTGTGAGGTCACAGCGACCTTGACCTTTGACCACCAAATTCTAATCAGTTTATTCTTCAGTCCAAGTTTGTGTCAATTTTGAAAAAATTCCCTCAAGGTGTTCTTGAGGTATTGCATTCACGAGAATGAGATGGATGCTGGGGTCACACTGATCTTTGACCACCAAAATCAGTCCAAGTGTGAGTTTGTGCCAAATTTGAAGAAATTCCTTCCAAGCAATATTGAGATATGGTGTTCATGAGAATGAGACAGTTGAGGTCACAACAACCTTGACCTTTGACTTCCAAAATCTAATCAGTTCATCCTTGAGTCAGAGGGAAAGTTTGTGCCAACTTTGAAGAAATTTCCTCAAGGCATTCTTGAAATATGTTCGCGAGAATGGGATGTATGTATGGACGACCCCGAAAACATTATGTCTTCGACCGCGGTCTTAGCCAGTGTGGAGGCATAAAAATGTACCAGTAAAATAAACTGAAATAATTATAATTTATTCCTTAGAGAGAAGTGAGAGCACCATTACACAGTACAGGTGGAGTTAAAATGGCAACATGATCTCAAGAAAGAAAACAAGGAATTACCATTAGAATATCGAGATAAACATTTGAGAAACTACAGAAAGCAAACGTGATATAAATTAAACACCATATACTAAACAGCACAAGGCAAACTGTAAAACTGTATCACAGATTAGCAACTATCTAAGATTTTTTTTAAAATCTGTTAATAATCTTTGTTTTTGGTATGACTGAAGGATAAAAGTGAGGATGACTGAAGCACAGATAATATTTTCAAAGTTTTCAAATTACAAAACAACAGTTTCCCTGAAATGTCACATCTCATACACATTTTTAAATCAAACATATCAAGAAGTATCACAACATGCAAACCACCGACTTACCACAATATTACTTTGGAAACAAAATGCTTTGCGCTTATCCCGTTACTTCCCATGTAACCACACGATCATAATATAGTAAAACGCATGTGTCAAGACAGAAAAAACCCAGAAGAGATCTCCAGTTATCGACTACACAAAGTAAGTTGTGTGTCGGAGGAGCGGTCCGGACGGCACTGTACGGCTGCCACAGGACAATGGCACCTCAACACATTTTTAGTAACGCAAGGCGTCACTTGTAATTGGTAGAAATGTGCTCAACTGAAACTTTTTAGCGTGGCAGCTCACTTCACCCGACATGATTTTAAACATGAACTCAATTGCAATATTTAAAAAAGTCTTGCTTGTGGAAGACCTTCCTTATTTTTAACAATATGTATTCATCAACAAATGCAAATACTGGGCCTAATTTACTCTGCAGAAAGGTCAGGGAAAAACTTCAACAACAAATTTTATTTAGAGTCTACGATCAGCCTGACCTGCCTGTCTTTGGACAGCAGCAGGAAACCAGAGTGATTCTTCATATGAAGCTACACAGACCTCCCGAAACATCATTTCTTAGCCACCAAAAAACTGTTTCTCAAGATGTGTCAGTTTCTTAAGATGTTTATGTAAGCTTCTGAAACTCAGCTTCACCAAAATCTACATACAGGGAGCCCACGTCCAGCAACCCAGCAGGTTGGAGGTACTTTATATGAGAAGTTACTATAGGGCAAGTCCATGTCCCCAGCTTTCTATGAATGCAGCATTCCAGCAAAGAGATCCTTCCACTGATTACTGAGGCTGATTGCAAGTGGAGTTTTCAAGTTCTCCCCATGTCTGAGAGGGGTTCCTCTGAATGCTCCTATTTCCTCCTATTGTCCAAAGACATGTGAGTCAGCTAATTGTAAACTCTAACATCCCTTTTCCACTGAAAGAACTTGACAAAACACAACACAACGTGCAGTCACGATCGGCCTAGATTCTGATTTTTCCTCCACTGTTCTCCAACTACTCACTGTACGAGTTCCTGGAAATTAATTTCAGCACTGCTCTGGAGATCCTAAACACAAGTTGCAGGTACTTGCAACTTGAAAGATAATTGAGAACTCTCAATAAAAATATAAGGTCTCCAGGCCCTCATTAGTATTTGGGGAGTGGAACCATTCAGAGGGAGCTAGAATCAGTGGCTGGAGAGATTTTTCGGGGTCTGGCAGAGGCAAACACAAAGTAAAACATAATATCTAAACCTGACAAGGTTCTTAAAATTTCAGGTTGTGAGAGGTACCGGGTTTTGGGCTGTTACATGCCTACAGTGGAAATGGCTGTCAACTAACCGTTCCCAACTCCCTCCCCTCTCTGCTCTGTGATCCAATAACAATTGAGCAGGCTTGGTACCCGATAGATCTTCAGTCAACTTTCCTCTTTCCTGTTATACTTAGATAACGTTATACTATGTGCTTGTTAAAAGTGTTGGAAAAAACTGAGTAAAAGATGTGGCTGGGGGACCTGTAAACACATTACACTGGCGTCATGATGGACACATAAATTGCGTAGTCACATTTTAACTGAGCTACTGTTAGCAAAACACTAGTTAACTAGCTGGCTAACGTATAGCTATGTCAAGAGGAGTTAGCCTAATGTCAGATCACCAGGGGCCGTGCACATGCCGAACTTTTTGCACCCTTAAATTTATTGTTTTCAATGTAGATGTGCGGCAGGTGCGCTCAAATGCTAAAGAAACACCGTTGCAGCATGAACATGTTCCTGAGCACCTATTTTTCTGGGCAAGATGGCTGTGCCCTGAGACTTTTAGAATGCATCAGAGCACACTGCATGTCATGTGACGAGGACTAACCAACCACAGCTAACAGAGCTTTACATCTGTCCCATGAACAATAGGCCTACACACAAAGAGTTCCTGGAGGAAGATCAGCTCAGTCTGCACTCAGGATGTCAGGTAAACAGGCTGTGATATGGTGCTTGTCAAGGTTGCTTCGTAACGTCAGACGCAACCTGCCGCTGTGCTCTTGAAAGCTGGCACAAAAGTAGCTCCCAGCACCTGACCTTGCATTTTCCAGGCAGGTTTCATTCCTCCTAATTTCTATGGTAATGTTTAAGAGATTTGAAAAAGGGCAGACAGTTTGGTTGCTGACATATTTTTAAGATGGCATGACTTATTGTTAGCCAGAAAAGAAAAGGCTCACGCTCCTTTGGTCATATTATTTCTGTAAGGCTACGTTTCGTGTGGCCCCAAAGGAACTTCTGGTGTTACTAATTTGGATATCGATAATGTCTAGCATCCCATCGTGAATCTGTCAATCACATAATGTAGTCCTTGCTGTTGTCTTGTTATAGCTATACTGCCTGGCGCCATGAAACTATCTAATAAACACTGCGGCACCTGCCTGAATGGAAGCGGTGTCACAATGTATCTTTTCATCAATGTCTGACTCAGCGACAGCAACTAAACTGGGTGGGACTTAGGATAGGTCAATTGCTGGTAGGTGGGACTGTGTTTTTACATCTATTCTTTGATTATGAAAACAATCTATGCCAATGTGAGCCACTGCACAACCCCACGTCCTGTGAAACAACAGCCTCTAGAAGTGTCAGGAGAGACTGAGGTAAATGGGTGAGGGTCAGGAACCTGCTGGTTGAACCCATTCTAACCTAAATGCAGCGGAAGTGTCCATGACACAGCAGTGGGTGTGTGGTTACCATACAGGCTGGGCCTCAATGTTTCTCAGCTGCCTCTGCAGGGGGACAGAGAGTCGCTCCATTCACGGGCTGGACGGCCAGAAGACCTGCAGTAACTTGAGCGCCAACGCTCCCTCTTTTCTGTCCCAGACCCGAGCTCACCTCAGACTTGTCTCATCTTTCTGCCAGGGCGTCTTGACTGAGTGGCAGTCATGTGCTCTGTGTTATCCCCCAACGCACTGCATTTGTGAGGAGTTCAGCTTGGGGGGGGGGGGGTGGGGGGGGGGGGGGGGGGGGGGGGGGGGGGGGTTGGGAGTGATCTGAGTGACAGGAAGAAGCGGGGAAAGATCTGTTACTTGTGCACACACTCCTCATGTTACTGGAAAAGAACTTCTCATGGGCAAATCTTTGATAAAAGTTAAAAGAAATGAAGCCTCTTTGAGCCTGTCATGATCATGAAAATGTAAATAAAATGTAATGTTTTTTTGTATGTAATGCAAATATAGACTGTACTCTGGTCACAAACAATTGGCAATATGCAGAAATTAAATAGTCATATGACTCAGCTTGGCTGCAATCATTTCTGCATGATTAAGGTTCATTGTTTGCCACTGTCTTAGAGAATAGATTCATTCAGCATGATTTTCACCCAACTGTCTTCTCCGAGGCATAAAATGTTTCACTGTTCCCTGCTGCCTGAGGACACTGTTCACAGCTTACAGGAAACACTCCTCAGAGTTATCTTCTACTCACAGAAAATGAACAGAAAAATGAGGAGAAAACACGAAGGGCTGCTGATTACGGTGCAGGAAAGCCAGACAAGGCATTCTGGAAACTGTGAAAGGTATGCACATAGCAGATGGTACTTTTGAAATCCAATTTCCATCTTAACTATTTTTTATCGTCACCCAATTTCAATTTTTTTTCAGTACTCAAAAAAATACTTAGAAGCCCCATGCATGGTGTAAGCCAGGTTGAAGTTTTTCATCCTAAAATCTCAAATCTAATCAAACACTCGAATTATAAAATAGTTTTTAAAGCCAATGTGCAATTTGTGCATTCACTTGGTAATTGCAGCAGCTGTTTTCTTTCTTTGCACCACGTCAGGATTTGCATATTTTTCATAAATGAGACGTAAACTGCAGTCTTACGTCAAGCAACTAAAGCACAGAAAAGTGCGACTCAAGATACAATCTTGGTGAATGTGGAACTCCTACGTGCAAATAAACTATTGTATAGGTTTGTTCAATATGGTGGACAGCAAACATCTTTACATTCAAGGCTGTAAAATATTGCCTTTCTTTTTTTTTTTGTCTAAACAAAAAACAAGGCTCAAGTCAAAGCTTAGTATCCAGTAAGTGTTCATCTATAATTCCTGATGTCCCAAACTAAAGAGCCCTCTGACTCAAACTTCTGAGGAGCTGCAGCGGCTTTTCACTCTGGGCACCACTAGAATCTCATCCCCGTCTCGGATGCTGTAGGAATGGAGGGCCCGACTGGCAAACTTCAACTCCTCTGGTCCCAAGACTGAACACATCTCTCGGTTGATGTAGAAGAGCCTGATGCCATTCGTGGGCAGCTGCAGCAGAGTTCGAAGGAGTTTCTTTAGGTCGCCCACTGTCTGCTCCAGACGAAGGCTGACAGCCTCCACCCTGTCGCCCCAGCGAATGTCCACCATGGTGCTGCGGGGGCTCAGGTCCACCTCCGCCAGCGGGGCCAGTTCACCGTACTTGGATACAAGAATGTGGTACCTGGAAGAAAGCAGGGCTCAAGTCAGATCACTGAAGGGTTTGGTTTTTGTTGTTGTAAACATTACTGAAAAACAAGTAAGTTTTCAAGAAGATTTTAAAAATTTAAAGTTGCAATTACAATTTACATCCATGTCTGTGAAAACATGAATGCTTCACACACATCTTCCCCCCTGGCAGCACAGATCTATTAAATCAGGGCAGACTCAAGGTGGACACCCAAGATTAGTGACACCTATTCAGTATCTGACCAAATGTCTCCCCTTCTGTTCCTGAGATATGATGTTGAGGAATGGACAGAAAAGTGTTTTTGCAGAACATTATGATGTCACAGTGAAGTTGACCTTCGACCTTTTGGATCTAAAATTTTGTCATTTCATCATTTTATCCTTTTAGACATTTGTGTGAAATTTTATCACAATTAGCACAAGTTAGTTGGTTAGTTAGTAGCAGTTTATTTCCACATGTAAGCTGCAAATAAACAAAATAGTCATACAATGACAAACAGACATTAAAAAAATGTTAGTAAAGGAAGAATGAAAACTGAACAAAATATAATGATTTGATTTACATGTCCAAAAAGGAGCGGGAGAAAGTAAGAATTCTTGAGTTATGGCCAATAAGATGTATGTGAGGTCATGATGACTTTGAACTTTGATCTTCGACCACAAAATCATTATCAGTTAATTCTTGAGTACGAGTGGACGTTTGTGCCAAATTTGAGAAAATTCCCTTGAAGCCTTCTTAAAATATCATGCTCACGAAAAGACTGATGGAAGGTCACAGTGATCTTGACCTATGACCACCAAATTCTTTTCTTTTTTTTTTTCTTTTTTTAAAGATATTTTTGGGTATTTTTAGCCTTTATTTGACAGGATAGGCAAGTGTGAAGGGGGGAGAGAAAGAGGGGGAGTGACATGCAGCAAAGGGCCACAGGCTGGAGTCAAACCCAGGCTGCTGCGGCAACAGCCTTGTACATGGGGCGCCTGCTCTACCACTAAGCCACCAACGCCCCGATGACCACCCAATTCTAATCAGTTCCTCGTTAAGTCTAAGTGGTCATTTGTGCCAAATTTGAATAATTCTCTTAAGGCGTTCTTGAGATATCCCATTCACAAAAAACAGACGGACAGATGTATGGACGGACGGCTAGACAACCTAAAAACACAATGCCTCCTGCCACAGCTATCCCGGACATGGAGGCATAAAAATGCAACAGAGGAGTGAGGGTGCAACTCTTGTAGGAGACTACGTAGACACATAGTGCGTGACATGGGGGGTCAGGGGACATGGGGAGACTGAAGCCCTGATCACACAGGATGCGTAATTAGTATTTAGTTCCTAAAATGTTGAGGCAGAGGGTACTTGCTGTAGCTCTGGTTGAGGGTAAGAGGCTGTCAGCAAATAGTTTGTTGGGCACAGGGAAATGGAGATCTGTGTGGGTACACGAGACCCTAAAGAAGACGGTGGATCAAGGGGAGTACCACCAGCTGGTCCAGGAACGTCTTCAAAAAACGCAAGAAAGTCCAGTTGCATTCGATATAGCATTTATGACTTAATTCTCATTAAAAACAATTACAAGCTGCAGCTCTGGCTTAGAGGTAGAGTGGGTCGTCCACCAATCAGAAGATCAGTGGTTTGATCCCTGGCTCCTCCAGTCTGCAAGTATCCTTGAGCAAGATACTGTCCCGATGATGCTTCCATTGGTATGCCAGTGTGTTAAAAACTGAGTAGCAGGTGGCACTTTGTATGGTTGCCTCGGCTACCAGTGTATGAATGTGTGTGTGAATGGGTTAACGTGACTCGTAGTGTAAAAAGCGCTTTAGTGGTCGGATGACTAAAAAGGCGCTATCTGGTGCAATGCAGGACCATTTACATCTAAAACACGTCCTGTGTGATCAGGGCAGGACTGACCAGACTGACTGACCAGTACTCAGTGTCGCAGGGATAGTGAGCTGGTAATCAGAGCAAACCAGCCACGAGAAACTACATTCTGTTTCTCTGCTGGTAAGTAGTAGCATTTCATGTCTCCGTCTACTGGTGGGCCATCATGATTAGAGTATGCATGCATAATATGATGTTAACTCTACAGAAGATGATGATCACTAAACTTAGGTGGGGTAAAGAAATGGATATATTGATATAATTATTGGCCAAATGAGTTGTTATATATCAGCAAATCTGATATCGGCAAAAAAATCCACTATCTTGCATCTCTTATTATCACCACACAAAACTCAATACGAGACAGATTCTGTGTAGCATATAAGAAATCTCGCTTTACCCCGCCTATGTGATGCGTTACATCTGTGCCCAATGTAATTTGGCTGAAAGACACAACATGTTAATTAGTGAGCTGACAAGTGTATTTTGATCCACATGTACCCTGTGGTCTTTTTTATCAGTCCCTATGGTAATGCAGAGGAGGGTGAGATGCAACAGGGGCCCCTGTCTGGACTCAATCCAGAGACATTGCAGTTATGCAATCTTTTATACTTTCTGGTCTTTCTGGCCAAGAGGAGGCCTGTAACAGTGAGTGATATCATTTTTTGTCTACCATATAAGAAGCAGAGGGAATATCAAGGTCTATTTATTAAAAAAAAAAAAAAAAATCTGTTCCCATCACCCACTATTACATCTTCTCTTTTTCGATGTGCCAACTCCTCCACCTCAGCCCAAACTGTTTCATGCTAAATTTCAGCTATTTCCTTATAGTCTTGATGTTTCCACGCAGGTTATTTTAAAAGCAAATTAAAAATGGGCATAAAAACAGGTAAACGGAGACCTTGAGTGTGTTTAAGAGGCAGAGAAACACTGCGTTCTCTGCCTCTTGCTTGCCGTGAGAAAGCTCTCAGCCACCTCAGGGGAATGCGTGTTCGAGATAAGGACCCAGGAACGATTAAATAAAATCCAGGAGAAAAGGCCTGTGCTTTCAAAGCTACTGTAACAGCTGGGCCAATCAAAGCAATTTCCCTTCCCTCCCCCAAAAACTTCCCCACAAAGCCATTCCCCCTGGCCTGGGGTTTCTGGCCAAAACTTGTGGTCCACCATGGGAATTCTCCTCTAATGCCACAGTGCACAAAGTGCCATTCTAAGAGAAGCCATTTAGCTAAAAGGCTTCATTTAAGGTGGTAAGCATAGTATAATGGGGCAAATAATGCTGCAGGTGATAACAAGTCAGCATTCCGATTGTCTTTTCCAGCATTCTTCGGTAATGGGCAGTAAAGTAGTGGCGGGAATAACAAGTTTTGGAGCTGATACAGGAACTATCTAGCCCAGATCTTAACTGACTTCTCTTAAGGTGTTTGGTCCTGCCTCATTCTCTCATTTCTCTAGTTGAAAGATGACCTGCTTCAAAAGTTAAAATGTTGATTTCCCCCTTTTCCCTCTCAGACTGGCCCTCAAAATCCACTGTTCCCAGTCCAGTCCCCTTTCAGTCCCTCTCTACTTATTCTACTGGATACGCCGACTCTCAGATTACTTTTTCAACCCAGTCCTCTCTTTCACTCTTTCCTTGCAACTAATCCTTCCTGTCCAGCCAACACATTTCTTCCTTTATATTTCTGTCTCCTAGTCCCACAACCCCCCACCCCTTTCCCAGATTATCCACCATTCTCTGTACGTCCTAAATGGATTATTGAGGTATATCAGTCTCTATCAGTCTGATTTATGGTTTGAGCTACTGAGTTGAGTTACTCAAAGCCAGGCTGTGTCAGATGTGTTCACCTGAGAGGCTGTGACCCACCCTGCAGAGCTCTGATTGATCTCTGGGGGTAGCAAGGCCGCAGCCCTGTCCGAGAGGAAAGAGGATAGCGGTGTGTTCACTGCTCACCCAGCGTGTTCGACACCCCCATAACACCCACATGCTGTCATGCTAATCCCTAACCTTGGACCTACACTGAGAACCTGGCTCCAAACCAAGACCACCAATGCATAGAGGCAGTTTACAAACAGGAGGAGAAGAGGAACATGGGGACTGGTAAAATGAACATCTCTGAAGGCCTTTGGATGGTTTGTGGCAAAGTATGATGGACATGTGACATGGTTTAAAATATGCACAGCACGGGGTGTACAGGTATAAGACACTTCAATGCATTTTAAGATTATTTTTTAACAAAATTAAAGACATATTTTTGGACAAATCATCTTCGTATTCAAGCACTGTGGGTGAGTATTAAGGTAGGAAGTATGTATGTAGTGCCAAGCAGAGTAGGGCTGCGCAATTACAGCCAAATGATTACTTTCTTTGTTACTGAGATTATGATTATTTATTGTTTTTAGGGCCAAAATGATTTATCTATTGCACTTTACATTTAAATCAACAGAGCAATACTTTCACATTCATGGTGTGCTTCACTTCATCTTCTACGGAAAAAATATGAATAAAATTATGCCAAAAGTTTTTAATTTCATTTCGTTTCCAAGGACATGGCCCGTTACAGTGTTGTAGAGAAGATGTTTTCATAGACTACTGCATACTCTGGAGCTGAAATATGCAATCCAATCGAGACAGCACTTCAGTGAAACTTAAATACCAGGTCTGTCCTATCAAGTAAAAGAAGAGATGATTTTTTATTTAGACGTCTGGAAGAGCTCAGTGTAGTTGCTTTTGGTGGGTTGATACGAATGTAAATGATTCTGATAAAAGGCCAGATGATAGTCTCATGTCAATCGCAGGACCCTGAATTAATCGAAATCGTATCATGGCAGACTTTGTATCATTGTCCAAAGAATCAATATAATATAGATTTGAGATTAAAATTGTGATTTACACCCCTATGCACAGCATAATGATCAAATACATCTTGGATCTTCACATGCAAAAGAGCCAGGAGATCCAGTTCAGTTCCAGTGACTTCAGAAAACAAATCAATCTCTCAACTTAAGGTTTGAGGTTGACAGAGTAGGTGTATACATAAAAAAAAAAAAATCAACCTGCTACCTTCTGTATCACTTTTCCAATCAGAGAATTCCCAGCACAAAGGACTCATTGAGCAGGGAGAGACTGGTGGCATTGTCTCCCAAAGGTTAGTTTCCCCCAGTCAGAGACTACACCTTCCTTCACAAATCCCTCCAACATTCTGCCCAGGTTAAGTGGAATGCAGTCGGAGAAGAGCGCTGGCAATTATTTGCCCGATGTCGGCCCCTCTGGAGGGATTTCCAAATATTATATCACATATTGTAAATGTGTCGAGAACAAAGAGTGTTGCTGTTGTTACAACATTACAGGTGTTCACAGAGGTACAAGTCGTCAAAGTGTTGACACCTGGTGCTACATGTTAAGGCTCCTGATCGACATGAGCTATGAAAACAACTCAAGCCCACTAAAGTCACCTGAATCATGGCATTAATGACCTGGTATATATAAATACACACAAAAGGTCCACATCTCAGAGGCAGTGAATGCATTAAGTTTATTCTAACATCCAAAATGAAAGCCAAGTTGTAAATAATAACATCTAATGACTCGCCTTTTTATCTTGCTTTAAAAGGAAAATAGGGCTGGGAAAATTATTGATGTTATACTGATGTTGTGATATGAAGCTAGATATCGCCTTAGATTTTGAATACTGTTGAATAATAAATTGCTTTATAAGTCAACTAGATACAGTTTGCTGCAGTAAAAGGGACTTACGTGAGATAAGGAGACTTATTGGATAAGACAAATGGTGACAAACATTTTATTTGGGGACACAATTAACACCTGACATGCTCCACCCACCTAAAAACCAGTGCAGACCAGGTACCCCCCCTCATTGCAACTGAACTTGTCAGTAACACTGGCCCCCCAGCAGGACAATGCCACCACAAAAACTGCTCAGGAGTGGTCTGAGGAATGTGACAAAAGAGCTCATGGCATTAACCTGGCCTCCAAATTCTCCAGATCCCCATCTGACCAACATCTGTGGGATGTGGGAGATCTGAAGCTATCGCCCTGGTGCCTGACACCAAGGGACACCCTACAGAGGTCCTGTGTCCATGCCTTAACAAGTCAGAGCAAAGTCCAAGGAGCACCTGCCATGGATTGGGGGTACCTCTGGGGTACCAGCAGGTCCCTCAAATGTTCGATCAGATTGGGATCTGGGGTATTTGGAGGCCAGGTCGACGCCTTGAGTTCTTTGTCCCATTCCTATGGTCATGCCTGAGCAGTTCTTGTGATGTGGCATGGTGCACTGTCCTGCTGGGGGGCCACTGCCATACAAATGCTGTTGCCATGGGGGGGGTTTATCTTGTCTGCAACAGTGTTCGGGTGGGTGGAGCACGTCAAGAAGCATCCACATGAATGCCAGGACCCAAAGGTTTCCCAACAGAACATTGCACAGTAACAAGATGATCAATGTTATTCACTTCACCCACCAAGGGTTTTAATGTTTTTGCTGATCGGTGTATTGTCAGACGGATGTCTTCCCAGCATAAAATTGTTTTATATTATGAAGCTTAGCCACACCTTAATACTGCATTGTAGTGTGTGTAACTAACTGATGATGGAGATGAAAGATAATCTTTTTCTATGTTAACAGGAAGTCACACCCAAACCACATCAGCCATCGGTAAAGTAAAGTGAAAGTGTAATACTGTGTGTCTCAGTACCTCTCAGGGAGCTTATGTTCTGGCCTGTCCTGGTGGTACCGGATGAAAAGCCTCTCCGCATCCTCTCTCTCCCCACGAGACACTGCGCTCCCATTCAACACCACTACAGACGGCAGCCTGCAGGCAGGGACATTTGGAGTATGGAGATTAGAGAGGAATTAAAAGAGCATGCTGTACTGCATATGTATGGTGATAAGGATTTCATGTGTGTGTAAGTTCAGACTCACTGTGCTAAAAGAAGGCAACGTCTCTCATGGGTGGAGTAAGGCTCTAGAAGAGGAATCCCCATTGCTTTGACTTCTTGCAGCTTAGGGAAGAAGTTCAGCCTTTCAATGTCCTCCCATTTACTAAGCCCTGAATGACATCACATCACAGAGTTACAGGGCCGTAGAGAATATTTACCTCACACCACTGAAGCACTGAATATTGAACATGATGGATGAAACATGTGCACATCCTTCATCATCCCTCTCAGACCTGAGTTGTTGAGGTTGATGCAGCGCAGGTTGGGGAAGAGTCGCTGCAGTGTTTCCTGAGTGTCATCAACAGAGTCCACGCTGTTTTTGGCCAGAACCAGTGTGCTCAGACTCGGGTACATCTGCCCAAACTTCCTCACTTCTGCCCATTCATGCAGCTGGTTGTCTGTGATCTGCAGCAGGCGGAGTGACGGACAAGACGTCTGGGATAGTGACACAGTGCTGTAGCCGTTCAGGCACAGGAAAAGCTCCTCCAGCCTGGACGATGAAGGGAATGGGTGAAGTTTGAGAAATATAAATGCAGACAACAAAAAAACATTGTTCAGGCTGATAAACTTGTTGTGCTTCCTATGAGCTTACTGTCCTTTTTAGACAGAGATTGCGCTATAGGGCTGCTACGAAGTCCATTCTTTATGCCTCCTTTGCATTTTTACACAGAACCAAACAACAGCTGCATCGTTACACTTCAGAGTGTGATTACAGACTGCATGCCAGCATTGCGGAATCAAAAGAGGCATGATGGGCGTGACAGCTTTGGCCTCTTGTGTGACATAAAACAACTTTATTAACAACAAGGGTATAACATGGAAATAACAGTCATTTACCATCCCTGTTATATGGCGGCTGATCTCGTCCTCTACGTGAAGGGTAAGGAGCTCCCAGACCTCATTGTTTTCCCAAGTTGCCGACATTGTTGACCACTGTTCTTTGAGTTTGCCGCTAACTGCAAACAGCTACTTTTTAAATCGAAATCGGTGGGTTGCACGCCTAACACGTCACAGAAACGTCACATCCATACCAATCATGGTCCCGTCCTGCCGGCTGTCTTGTTTATACAGACACCATTTCAGTGCTGTTAATACCTCCCATGGCGACCTTTTTGTTTGTATTTGTCTATAGAGTAACATCAGCCATATCCTTGAAGCAGATTCAATGTGTTAGCATATTTCTCAAAACTGTTCACATTGGTCAACACTAGGGATGCGCACGATTAGTCATGTAAACGATTAAACGTCCACTCCCTCGCTAGTTGGCACCAGAAATATTAGTCGGTTAAACCTATTAGTGTTTATTAATGTACAATGCCGCTTGACTGTCATGCAGATGCCTGCCACTAGTGGGTGCTACAGAGCCATCAGACAGCAGTCCCCCTCCCCATGGTAATGCTCGAGTAGACTCGAGTTTTAAAACAACACAAAACCAGCGCGGTTTGGCAGTACTTTGATCTAGAAAATGAATTCAGCAGCAATTAGTCTTTATTGAGATGTTATATTATTTGTTAACTTTAAATGAGTTGTTGTCAGATAATGTGCAGGTTTACATTCATACTGCACAGAGCAAAATGCCTCTCATCTCAGCTGAAATTCAATTATAATTTAGATGTTGTTTTATTAACTTTAAAGTGAATTGCTATCATTTCCGTCAGATAATCTGTAAGGTTCAATGTGCCCCACATTTCAGAGGCAATTTATTAATTTTAGATGTTATTTAAGTGGTTAACTTTTGACTAGTCTCTATATACAGACTCTACATTCAGTGAATGTAGAGTCTGTAGGCAAACCCCGGAGATCTTGCCTCCAGAAGAAGAGCAGAAGAGCCCTAGTTTCCGGTTGTAGGCTGTTTGTAGTCACCGTGATACTGACCAATCACGTTTGAGCCGGCTGCAGTTGCTGCCAGGTCCGTGCGGTGAACTAACGAGGCGGAATGTAAGTGGCGTCACTGCAAACTCTGAATCCATCGCAATGGTGCATGTCTTCTTCATGCATATGTTTATATTGTTTCATTTTTCCTACGTGTTTGTAAGTTTGTTGTTACTTGACATCATCCAAGAGATTTACTTTCACTATAATCTCACCTTCAAAGACCGTCCATTGACTGTCTAACAGATACAGACGATTACCTATCATGTTAAATAATAGATTACAACAGGTATGTTCCTCTGATGTAATCAAGAAAACATAATTAAATCAGGAAAGCCCAAGAAAGCTACGATTGATTTCTTCTTGTCATCTGAGTGTAGATATAAAGATGCCCTGTATTCACTGTTCTGGGCAAATCCTCTGAGCTCTGAGCCTGAGGTTGCACCTTCTCTATAGAGAATAAACTCTCGTGCACAAAGCTATTCAGTCTTGATTGCTGACTCCCAAGCACATTGGCTAAAAATTGCCACAACACGTGTTATACCTTTTATATGGAAGACGAGGCAGAATAATGGTGAAACATTACTGCCTTGTGTAAAAGAGGCTTCTGACACTCAGCCCCAAGCCCACTGGCTCATGATGAAAATGTTAATCTCTAAGAACAGGCCACAAATCAATATTTTCAAAAGTAATTTCCTACAACAGCTGGGCACTGCAGGTTTCAGCAAACTTTACTTAAACAGCAGTTCACTGTGCATTTGTTGGGGACTATTTTCAGGTGCGGATTAATACACGTTTGGGGCTGTAGTGAGTATTTACAGCAGCAGGGGGGTGTATGTGGGACTAATTAAAAAAACTTGCAGCGTTTTTTTGTGGATACACCAACAATAATGATGGCTTTGGTCTTTTCATAGGATTTGTTAACAGTAAGAAATAGGAATATTCCTCGCTTTATCCTTTAAGCTTTTTATCAGTTCAGTGGACAATCTGTCTCACCTGCTCCCAGTGTCAAAAAGTATTCTGCACATTGATGTTGCTTCCAGTGACTTTGTATCACCATCTTTGACATGCTTACCGTGGTAGAATACACACAACTTTTTAAATAACAAAGGAAAAACATCAGCTGTGTATAGAGGACTTCCCTTACTGTACTTCATTGTACAGTCATTCCATTGACAGCACGACCACAGGCAACATCTCTGTTTCATCACTTACTCTGGTGTGTGTCGTGTGAGTGTGTGGACAGTGTCCCAGCTGATCTGTGTGTTAATGAGGACAAGCTGTCGGATCCTGGAGAACACCCCAGCCATGCTGGGCTCCAGCGACACGCCGCTCAGAGGGTTCATGCTCAGATTGAGGAAGTCCAGCTGGGGGATGCTGGAGACAATGGAAGAGATCTGGCAACCCACAAGCATCAACAGACAGACATTAAATACAATACTTGTAACTCTGGTTTTGTTATTCACTTATTAAAACTATTTTTAAACTAACACATTTGTGCGATAGACACTGGTGGAGGTTCATGTATCAATGGTGTACAACTCTGGCAGTGTGACCTGATACGATACAGATGATCTGATCTTTTTTCTTCAGTTGGTAACATCCAATATGATATTTTGCTCACCTGATTTGGTCATCACGGTTTCTTAATTATCAAGACTACTCGCAGGGTTTTATTTGGCGTTGTATTCTCAAGTGCCAAATTACAGATACATAGTTGATGTCAGTCAGCACACAACCATTTTAAAGAAGCAATGTCCTACTGTGAACAGCTGCAGCAGCAAAACATATTATAGCCACCCAAAACTAGAGATTACACTTTGAGGTTGTATGCCTCTGCGAACGAGTCAAGTTGCAATTACAGTTTACATCTCTGTCTGTGAAAACGTGGATGCTTCACACACATTTTACCCGCTGGCAGTACAGAAGGTCTGTACAATCAGCACAGTTTCAAGGTCGACACTAAAGACAAGTGTTCTTGAGTCAAAGTGAATGTTTGTGCCAAATTTGAGGAAACTTGCTGAAAGCGTTTTTGAGAAACTGTGTTCAAGAGAATAAGACGGATGCAAGGTCACAGTGACCTTGATCTTTGACTACCAAATTCTAATCAGTTCACCGTTGCATCCAAGTGAACATTTAAGCCAAATTTAAAAACATTACCAAAGTGATATCGAGTTCACAAGAATGAGATGTACCTACACAAGTACGGATAACCCGAAAACATACTGCCTCTGGCCATGGCTATAACTGGCGCGGAGGTATAAAAATCTACAATTAAAGTGTACGCTATATTGAGAGTATTTCACTGCTTCACCTTTATGTCAGACAGTCCTTTCAGACGGGGAAGACGTTAACAGCTTCAGTTCCCCATTTATGCGCTCGTCCAAAGTCACCAGACTCCATTGACAAAACAATAATTTTGGCTCGCTGATATCAGGAGCTGTTGTCTACTGCTGCTTTGATCAGTTACTTACTTTGTGTTATTGTGTGACTTTGTTGAATCCAAACTTACCTCTGTAAATGCCAAAGTCGCACAATAAAATAAAGAAACTAACCGACTGAGGCAGTGTTTGACCAGCAGCTCCTGTGTTCGCCGATATTAAATCACTGTTTTTCTCAATGGAGTCTGGCTTTGAAGATAGTGGTGAAATGGCTTCAGTTCCCTGTCAGAAATCACTGTCTGATAACAAGATGAAGCAGTAAAAACAGTCAGTATTATACCAGTATTACACCGGTATTGATTTGTTTAGGCGGCGAAAATACATTTTGTTGCTCCACAGCAGTACATTGCCGAGCTCTCACGTAGGACTCCAGCCTGCTTCTCCAAACTGGGGGCGTGCCAACTACCTTTTACCGTATGTATAAATATCTCATACAACCCTTCTTTAAAAGATCCAAATGATTCATTCAAAGCTTACACAGACCCATCTCACTGCAGGTATTGAAACTTGTCTGCAGGAGAACCACAAGTACAACTACTAGCTTTAATAATGTTAGAGCGCGACACTGTCCCAAACATGTCTGTCACAACTAATGGTGTCTTGTTTAATAACTGAGCCAGTTGTGGTCAGCACAAACAAACAAAAAAAAGAGACCAATGAGATAACTGTCTCTGGCTTGGCTCCACTTTTTGAAGATATTAAACTGTATTACTAAGCAGAAAGTCTTTAAAGGACACCCACCTCTGCCCAGTCGTTAAGTTGATTGTGGGACAGGTCCAGCTCGACCACATGGCCACAGAAGGCTGCAATATCTGACCTATCCCCGGATTTACTGATTCCAGAGTCACTAAGAACCAGTATGCTGGGCAAGAACAGGCGATCTGCAAACACACGTTAATTAGTCAAGTTAACTTAACTCCACTTATAAGACATTCAGGAGGTTGACACGTTCATGTTCTCTTGTTCTGAGATGAAAATGTAATGATTCAGATGATGCAAGTGCTCATTTAGCACGATTGATATACTGGTGTCATGTGTCAGCATCACCTCTCACCTTTGACAGGGGATCCTGGGGGGCTGGGCATTACCATGACTCCCTGTCCATAGGGGAAATTCTCTGGGTTGTATTTCTCACTGAGGACTTGGATGAAGGTGCGCACCTCCTCTTCATCAGAGGACGACTCCATGGTCCCAGCCCTGAGCCGGTAGCCGAGGGAGAAACAAAGAAAAAGAGGGTGCAAACAACACAGTCAGTTAATTTGTTTGGCTTTGGAGCCTTTGACACCCTGGGTCAGTGTTTGAAGAAGATGACTGGTGGCGCTACATACTGTCTGTTGTTGTTATTGTCAACAAAACTCACAAAAAGACAAACCAGTATTCTGACATCCTGCCCTGTCTGTGGGACTCACCCAGTAGTAAACATCACACAAACTGGAAACTTAAGGTCAATGGGACTGTCACTGTCTACAGATATAAGGCTGCAACAAGGAACTTTACATGTTGACAGCCCCACATGGCATCCAACAGGGACATCTGAGAAAATTCAACTTGTGGAAGGCAGCAGAGTGCATAGCATATCATGTGACAAAGAACAACCAATCATGACCTCTTTCCTTTCTCCCGTAAATATCAGTATACAGTAACTATGGAGGAGAAGCTCATCCTTTCAGCAAGCAGCTAGCCAGGGCTATTCCACATGTCCTGAACAACAGACAATAATTTAATAGCCGCCACACTTAAATAACAAGCCTAGCAGAATTCTGGCACCGCGTTTTCCAGGCAGCACGAGTAGCATCCCGGGACTGACCTTGTGTTTTCCAGATTGTAGACGTGGCATGTGTATCTGACCTCACTGATAAAGACAATGTGACATTCTTGATGTTTAAGTCACAGCTACATCTATTTCACAAGCTTGTATCAGTCAAACATGAGAGCAACTTTCAGAATGAAAGTGCAATGGATTTTTTAAAAAATTTGCTGGCCCCAGAAAAAAACGCTTTGTTAGACACAGCCCTTAATTGTGTAAAAAGACACATCCATTTTTCATTTGCTAGCACATTTTGTTTTTTCTCCCTCAGTTTTCTACGACATAAAGGGTCATAGACAGACACACACTGTTGCTTTAAGTCAGGGGTCGGCAACCTTTAAAGAGCCGTTATTGGCCAAAAACCTTTTTTTTGTTTTTCCTTTAAATAAATCTGTCTGGAGCCACAAAACATATTTGAATAAAGGTAATAGCCTATTAAGTCTAAATGAGCCCATCAACATTACTAGTAGGTCTTAATGAACATTCCTTAATATGATTCACTACAGGGTGGCGACTCTGCAGTGGGCTATTTATAATTATTTGGTTCTTTAACTTTGCAGCCTTGGTGGTGAAAGCAAATTAATCTTTTTGGAATTTATAGTTAGCCTTGCTAGGGAGACTCCAGGCAGCCATCGCTACTGAAGTTCAGCAAAATTTAGAGGAACAGGCACCAGATCGTAGATATGATGCATGTTTTGGTTGATGAAATGTTAAAACATTTCTTAATTTGATGTATAGGCTACACATTTTTACAGTTACACAATGCAATAATCACTCTAGGCCAAAAACAATGAAAAGGAAAATCTGAATGTTTAAAAAATAACTTCAGGTCAAAGCCACAGAGAGCTAATGGAGAGGGTCCAAAGAGCTGCGTGCAGCTCCAAAGTTGCAGGTTGCCCACCCCCGATCTAAGCACACACAAACTCATCATACTGTGAAAATGTTTACGTACACATTCATAGTTTTTAAAACATGAAAAACCAGTTGTATGGTCAGTGACTGTGGAGGCAGTGGGACCAGTTCAACTCTGTAGGATATTTGGCACCTTCACTGGGCTTAAGTGCACCTTCAGGGTAATAAGGAAGCCTTTCATTTGAACAACTCTCAATTTCACTTGCATTTCCACAGGCCTGTAAAATAACAACTAAAACAAAACATTCTGAATACTGTTTTTGGGTGCACATTTAAATGAGCTGCACATACAAATTTGATGTATGGGGCACAAGTTTAGTGTTAGGGCAAATAACAGAAGAGCTCAGACAGTCTGGAGAAGTAAGGCAGCCTTTAAAACCAGCTAAAACAACACTTACAATATTAAGATATCCAAAATCTCAAATCATCATGATAATGATATACTGCTTTGCCTTATCTCAAACTATTTCACTTGTTCTTGTTGCTCCTGTTGGCAGCCATTTTTCCTCTGAGTATCTGTCGCATAAAAAGGTCTAAAAATATCCCATCAACATCACAGAATAACCTCAAAGAGACAGAAGCAGAAACGTGAGAGGCAGAGCAGCACTGACAGGAGCAGGTGCTCGGCTGACTCCAGTCTTCCTCTTGGTGAGGCTGAACCACCTGTTCCTGCCTAAAGTAATTTTGTGTAGTGCTGAAACAATTAGCAAACTAACCCATCAGTTGATTAATTGAAATTAACTATTAATCATTCTGATAATCGATCTGATTGTTACTGTTTTAAGTAAAAAAGCTTAAATGTAGCTTTTCCAAAGTGTGGATTTGCTGCTTTTCTGTATTTTTATGTTATTGTTGCATAAAAATCTTTGAGTTTCGTACAGTTAGCTGGATAAAAGAAGCGATCTAAAGACATATTTTTCTGAATTTGTTGACATTGAATGACCTAAACAACTGATCAACACATTTATTGACCTTAAAATCAATATGAAAAATACAGCTGCAGCCCTAACTCTAAAACCAGACTATACTTGTATACTTATTGATAATTCTTGGTAGCTGATAGTTTTCCTTTAAGGTGTGGGGCATAGAAAACACAAGACTATTATCACTCCAACTATAAATAATTAAAATACAGAAACCATCCTGTCAACTTTGGCAACCAACAGCTGATAGCTGATAGCCAGCCTGGCAACCATAAAACGTACTGCAGCCCTGCAGTAGACATAGCAGCACAGGGGAATGTCAAGTTTCCTGATTTAATCCATGTTGCATTTATCAATTAGCAAGCTGAGAAAGTTTTCTGTATTTGTAGTAATATGATTAACATATGATGTGATGACATCACTCATAACAAAGCATACAACCTAGACCTTGTGTACCCCCAGGTTAGCCCAGGACTCACGCCCACTCCTCAACCCTGATCAGCCCTATCGCTTTCAGACAAGCGGGGTCTGTTCATCTTAAACTCGGCCGACCTGAGGTGGTGTGCTCGCAAAATGACTGAGCGCTGCGTCCGGACTCTGTCTGATGTTTCTGTCATAGATAGTTTCTCGTTTCACAGATCCCCAGATTCAGACCTCTGATGTGGCAGAGACCAAAGGAAAGCCTGTTTTCAGCTACACGTCAGATCGCATAACTCCTCTGCCGCTGAGAGAAAACGCTGATGACAACTTTGATGAAACAAGAAGAAGAGCATCTATAAAAAGAGCTCAAATGAGTTTGGGAACCAGAGAAAACTCTTTTACACTCATGCACATATAAAATGTCTGAAAGCTTTAGGGACTGTTTGTCATTAATGAGGGCAGAGGGGGTGGTGCGAGAAGATGGAGACATGTCAAATACTTCTTTAAGCACTGGGGAGTGACTTGTGTTTTTTATTTTGTTTTAGGGGAGAGGCATGCAAATTTAAATATCTATATTTTGTATTTGTTTTACCACAGAAAACACAGCATATTTTCTTATCATAGCCAGAACTATAAATATAAATAACTTGACCCACTTTAATGTCCGAAAAAGAACGTAGGACAACTGAACATCGACAGCAATAGTGGTATCTCACATATTATTTATTTGTCACTCTGCCAAACTTAAACATAACTTTCAATACCTGCACATAAGGTGCGGGATATTAATAGTTCCAAATTTAACATAAAGAGCAAAATAAAATATGTAAACAATATATGGATGTAGTTAATATTAAATTATGCAGAAGCAAAATAATAAACAGAGAAAACAAGACAATCTACTGGATACGTCGTCACAAGTCTCATTTAAAATTTGGCCAAAAACAAACCGTTTGCACCAGGGGTGTGCCATATCATATCCTTCACAATAATAGCTGTATAACGTTTAATACGATATGAAAAATTCATGTTGTGATACTTGCAATATTTCGTCTCATTGACATATTGACGCAGTACCGACTCTGCGGTGGTTCCAAAAGAGGAGCAGCTTCAGTAGTGTGGAATAAACTGTGGCGTCCTGAATGTTTTATGAACAGCCCCGGACTTCTCAGACTCTTCTAGTGATTTACCGCTCAGAGGGAACTCATTCAGTGGCTCCTCTGGCAGCAGCACAGCGTCTCTCCCTCTCCTCTCTCGCCGTGCGCACACAGGAGTCAGTGTTGTCAAGTGATTTTGTCATAAACCTTTGGTAATGTAAACCTACGTGACACTCGCAACTCAACAAAACACTCCATATATGTGAATGTGTGATAGTTGTGGTATCATAAGAGCCTGTCACAGGTTACAGCGTGATGATTAGAGGAGAAATGGCAGAGCATAAAGGTCCAGGTGAATTTTACTAACAGAAGGAAATCCCCTGTTGATTTAGATCCCAGGGGACATTTTTTGTATTTGGGAGCTGTTTAAATGTGTAATTTGTGGTAGATTTTGTTTAGTTGAACTATTAATATTATTACACAATCTGAATCTCACTCTGAGTTACTGTTGTTGTTCACAAACTAAAGAAATAAGAGATCATTTTAGTTTTTACTTAATATTTGAAGCAAACTGTAAAACTATATCACTTATTTTGCTGCAATTTTATTTTCTTACATTAGTAATACACTTTTTTTTAAACTTATTTGTCATATCATGATGTAATATTGTTATCGCAAAAATACCCTGACATATTGTGATTCGTAAAAACAAAAAAAAAAAAAAGTGGATATTGCACTTACTAACCAGCGTAGAGTGAAAAACTAGGGCTTTTTTTCAACTCCAGGATTTCGTTTCCAACTTCAACCCTTTTCAACTTTCAAACATCAAAGGTTAAGTTTAAAAATGTTGTAACTAATTTATGTTGGGGTGAGGGTCGTGCATTTTCTGCCAAGTCACTCAGGGAGGCCCAAGGAAGAATATTTTTAGCTTTGGTGAGGGACATAATCACAAAACGAAGTCACACCCCAGCCACCCTCTCCTCTGATAAGTAGAGAAGAGTCCCTGATGGTGCATGAATGGAGAGAATACAGGAAGGCAGACGTTGCACCACACAAAAAGGGATGAACCTGCATTATGAAACTGACAAAGAAAGGTAGAGTGACAGCTGGTTTCCTGGCAGGGCCGAGAAAGACAATACAGACGCTTTCAAGAAGGTTTGATAAACATACGCCAGACAAAGCTAACAGTATTACACAGAGAAACACATCCCATTTAAACCTTATCATTTAAGTCTCTCACCCTGGGTGTTTTTCATATAAAATGACAGATTGAAATATTACTTTAGCTTTTCTTCAAATCGGCACACCTAACAAGCACCAAATTATTTTTCTGTGTAAAAGCTCACCTTTAAAACTACTCGCTGCTGCCCTCCGCGGTGCAGTTAGTGGCAACAATACTAAAACAATTTCAAGATACAGTTTAACAGGAAGTAGCAAATAAGGTTTTACTGATGCCGAATTGAATGGCGACCCACAACGATTAAAAATAACCCGAAAGTAAGACTGTATCTATTTCATAAGCTTAGTAACAGGCGACGCTACATTGAACTAACAGGTTTGTCAACGGGGTTTGGTGAAACATTCTTCAAGCGAGATAAGCACGGCACGTTTGGGGGGTGGGGGGGTGGGGCTGGTTACGACCGAGGCCTGGCTGCCTGATGTCGCTCGTGCAAAAACAAATGGCCAAAATGTTGATTTGAAGGTCGACATTTTGAAAGTAACGGTCGGTATATTTATATATTTAACCGCTGCACAATTACATTGCAGTGTCAGTGTTTGAGGTGCCACTGTAACTTAGCTACCTTCACCTTTACCGTCACATCGTAAAAAGTGTTTTGATTTAAGTGGCTGTTAAAATGGAGTCGTGCTAATGTCTCGACGGTCTAACGCCCCATGTTAGTATCCATATTGCATTTAGTAACGGGTATATTTGGAGACCATTGCACTCACCGTCCCCGGAACCCCCTCGATGTTGTGTTTGTTTTTGTTGTTCTTCGGTTAGTTGACAGTTTAAGACACGCCTACTTCTCCGGAAGTGACGTTGTTTAAATGTCTAGGTTTTTTTTCCCGTCTTCCTCAATGTATATTATTCTTTTAAAAACTATACACAAGAAATAATAAAGGCATTAACCGGCAAAAAATAGAAAATTAAATTAAATTTAAAAAAAAATACATAAATTAAAAAAAATAAAAAATCCTCAATTTCCCTCGCATTTTCATAGGCTTTTAAAATAACAACTAAAATATATATTTGTTTGTTTTGTTTTTGGGTGCACAAGTTAGTGTGCTGCCCATACAAATGTGATGTGCAGGCTACAAAATGTTGTCAACAATATTTGCTAAGGAAAAGAAAAAAGTCATTTTCTTTGTCAACCCAGACAAGGAATATAAAGGGTGACCTTGCGGGCGCAGTTGGGAATGATTATTACTGTTACTTACACTGATTACAAGTATTAGCAGTAGAAATAGGGTAATAGTACCCGACCTACACACTGGTAGTTTTTTTCAAACATGAAAAAACAGCTGTATGGTCATTTAAAGTCACACAGTGACCAGTTCAACCCTGCAGCATAACCCTGCAGGATATTTGGCAAATTAACTGGGCTTAAATGCATTTTCAGGGTGATAAGGAAGCCCTTCACCTGAACAGTTCTCAATCACTTGCATTTTCACAGACTTTTAAAATAACAACTAAAAAAAATTAAAATAAAATACTGTTTTTGGGTGCACATTTGAGTGTGCTGCACATACAAATTTGATGTACAGGCTACCAGATGTCAATAACTATTTCCTGAGATAGAAAATAGTAATTCATTTTCTTTGTCAACCCAGACAAGGAATATACAGGAGTGACCTTGTGGCCCCAGTTGAGAATGATTATTACTATTACTTGTATTGATAGGAAGTATTAGTAGTAGTAATAGTGCAGCTGGGTGATATGGAGAAATTTAAATATCACTATATTTTCGACTGAATACCTCAATATCTACACAGCAACAATATGTAGGGCCAATATGTACTGGCTTACCAGTAATGTGGATATATAGACTAAGTGGGTAAAGACAAATACCATAACAGCTAGAGGAGTCTGTAAAGTTAAGAACATTACATCACTTTACTGTATTGCAGCCTTTTAAACCAGGAGGAGACACCACTTATGATATTAAGGTATCCAAAATCTAAGATAATATCTAGTCTCACTAACCACAAATACCTACTTCAAACCCTTTCACCTGGTTGCTCCTAAATTAGTTGTCAAATTTAGTGGTTAAAAAAACAAAAAAACAACAACTATGGTTTATAATATAATTTCTGAAGTTTGAGTCAAGGCACTTGTAGCCTACATCACATAAACAATACAGAAAGTTAAATAAATACATATCATTGTTTACATTTGATGTTCAATGCAGTGATGGAAAGAAATCACTTTATTTCGGTTATGTAAAAACAAGACAAGGCAAAAATAATCGGTCATAAATTCAGTATTTTTAGCCAAATTGTTGCACACATACGTAGGCTACACACTCCAATGTAGCTGCTTGGTCCCACTGGCATTTTTGTTCTACTCTTGGTCCTTTAGACCAGTGGTTCCCAACTGGTCCAGAGCCACGGGGTCCAGATTTCTATTCATCAGTTCAAGATCTACAAAGTTCAATATATTCAATGTCATACTTCAGCATTTGGCCAAGTCACTGAGGTAGTTTGATGTCTCTGTTAAGCATTCATTCCCTCTACAGAGAGAAACAGCACTTCAAAATAAAAGCTGTATGCTGGAAATTCACTGTACTTTAAAATAAAGTTGCTTTTTACAAAATTGGTACATTCACGAGTCACTTGCAGTCCATTAAGAATGTAACCGCAACCCACTTTTACACCATGTCCCACCAGCTGGCAACCACTGCTTTAGACTGTACTTGATAATATGTTATTAGTATTTAAATGATGTAGCTGACGTAGCAATACATGGCTCCCGGTCGACTACTTAAAACTGCATGCATGTAGGTCAAAGACAACATGAAGTTCATCTCCTTGGTGATGTAATTTTGATTAAATAACATTAACTCGGCTTATTTTTCCATAACTTCTCCAAACAGTTAATTAAGATCAAATTAAAACATCTGACTGAATTTTGCATGAAATATGACGCAGATCTCTTCATGACAGGAAGTCATTTCACAGGTTAATTAAAAGGTTACAATGACAAAATGATTCAATTTGAAACTAAAATCATTTTTACAATAGAAAATAATTTAATTGATCTTTAACAGTCTTAGAGACTGTTCAGAAAGAAACTGCAAGCTGGATTAACGATGTCTTTTATTGTTTGCATCATTTATATGCCCCTAAACTGTGGAACAGTCTGCCTGAAGGAACTAAACAGCTCTACCACATGCTGCCACTAGATGGCAGTCATGTTGCGTACAGCCAAAAAGCACTGTACATGGAGACTCTGCCACCAAAAAGCAGTGTTTGAAAAAGTACAGCAATTTTTAAATACTCCATTACAAGTAAAAGTCCTGCATTTCATCAAGACATCAGGTAAATATACTTTATTTAAAGTAAAAGTAAAAATTGCCTCTTTGACTGATGCATATTAATACATTTATATTACACATACTGATGCAGCAATACATAAGTAGCATTTTACTGTTGTAGCTGAGTAAGATTTTTTTAATTCACTTACAGCCAGTATTGTTTATCTGCTACAGGAATGTGAGAGCCACGGGAGAAGAAGAACTTGCTGGCTGGTTTAGACACATTTAGTCGGTGTTAACTGACTTTAACGTCTCATTTAAGTCACTTAGTTTTAAAAAACTGTCCAGTTCAATCTTGCACATTTCCAATCCATCGGAAATCACTTAAGCAGAGGCTGCCAAGATGTTTCTACATTCTATGATTTTCACTTATCTGATTCACTGTTTAACAGGCTGGTTACAGGCCAACCATCGTACATCAAAACCACCTGGCTCGCCATAAAACCAGTACTTCATACACTAGGTTAAAAAAAATCAAGGCGTTTCCATCAATGTCCAATTCTATAAATATATCAGATTTTAAATTGGGATGACCCAATATAACATGCCAACTTGTGCTTGGCATGCAAAGTCGTCCATCACTGTAGTGGACCGTGACGTCACCCACTGGTCTGTGGACTCTTTGAAACCCTGAGTGTGGCACTTTGGCTGTAACCATTTCGGGGTTTTTTGGAGCCAGAAGTGACCATATTTGGATGAGTGGGTGGAGCTATGGAGGAGCAAGAGGTGGATGTGACTAAAAAGCTGAGGACACTATTGGCAGACAGCTTGTCACTGTGGCTTGTCCTTGATTATGTGTAACTTTAGCCACAGAGACCAAAACTGGTTTATGAACGAGGCTGTAAATATGTTTATTTCTGCTGTAAATTCAGCATTTTAACATGGGGCCTATGGGGACTGACTGGCTTCTGGAGCCAGCCTCAAGTGGCTGTGAGAGGAACTGCAGTTTTTGGTACTTAAATAACTTTTAAATAACTTTTTTTTTAATTTTTTTTTTTATCAATGTTATAGCCCTGAAGAAATTCTTACATTCTCCAATTGTAAAAATGTGTGGCCTATGTATTGAATTTAAAAAAAAAGAAGGAAAAAAGTCTCAACAATTCTCTAAATTACTAAACGTCAAACGCAGTAGCTTGTCTTGAACCTTCCGAGCTCGGCAAGCAATGGATTCCAAATCTATAGTGATAAAAGTCTCAGAGGAATATACAGAATTTAAGAGTGGGTGCACAGAGTTGTTTGCTTTCAGCGCAAACACTGAATGCACATTTAGACTTATTTTTAATGTTGATAGGCTAATTTAGACTTAATACGCAGTGTTACAATGATGTGTGTTTCAAATATGTTCTGCAGCTCCAGGCAGATTTTTAAAAAAATCTTTTTAGTCAAAAAATGGCTCTTGACAGTTTAGGTTGCTGACCCCTGCACTAAGGGGTCTATAAGAGGAAACAGCACTATTCTGTTGTGCCTTCAGCCAGTCAGCCTGGTGTGTCACAGGTCCATGAGAGTGAAATATATCTCCAATTCACAATGAGACAAGAAAACACTTACAGATCTTTGAGTAACCATTTAAAACTACTTCTATGTCCTGCTTATTTGCAGTGTTGTGCTGTATGTACCACTTCTGCAACTGTGTCTTTTTTCCAATCTTGAACTGCATGCCTTGTGTTTGTTTTTGCTTAGATGTATTTTAGGAAGTGTTTTTTTTTTTTTAAACGTCATGGCCAAGGACTGCAGATTAAAAATAGTCTTTCTCTCAGATAAACTAAACTAAATGACATCTATGTGACATCCTGAAGGGTCTGTGGCTCACCAGACTCCATTAGATTTACAACTGTTTTAAGAAATGGGACTTTTTCTGGATAGTTAGCTGTGTCATAGTTCATTACACAGTTAAGATACGTGGTAGGAGTTTGTTTTTGAAGAAAGTGTCTGAACACAAAGAGGAAGCTGTGATTAATATACTTTCCTACTATCAAAAAGTAAAAAAGAAAGGGGTGTGCCATATCATCTAGTTCATCTAGTTCACGATAATACCTGTATAATATTTAATGATATTAAAAATTCATATCATGATATTGGCAGTATTTTGACTTTCGACACATTGACGTCATACTGTTACCTACGGCAACAACAAGCATGGCTAAAAGTGAATTTTTTACCGCTCTATGGTGGTTCCAAAAAGAGGAGCAGCTTCAGTAGTGTAGAATAAACTGTGGCATCCTGAATGTTTTATGAACAGCCCCGGACTTCTCAGACTCTTTTAGTGACTTACCGCTCAGAAGGAACTCATTCAGCGGCTCCTCTGGCAGCAGCACAGCGTCTCTCCCTCTCCTCTCTCGCCATGCATCAAGTGATTTTGTCATAAACCTTTAGCAATGTAAACCTAAGTGATGCTCACAACTCGATAAAAAACTCCATATATGTGTGAATGTGTGATAATTGTGGTATCACAACAGCCTGTCACAGGTTACAGCGTGATGAGTAGAGGAGAAATGGCAGAGCATAAAGGTCCAGGTGGAAAAAATTTGGGAGCTGTTTAAATGTGTAATTTGTGGTGGATTTTATTTAGTTGAACTATAAAAGGAAATGATGTCATCAGTGCATCCCAGGTAGCCCTGCAGACATCCTGGAAAGACTCTCATAACTGACCAGGGGACTAATAGGCTAATCCTCATGTTGTTATTTAAGTGCAGGGATTAACTTGTAAAAGCATGCTATATATGTGTGTGTATAGATGAATGGGGCAGGGCTCACATGAGTTTAGTTTATGATGATGTAAGAAGAGTATTCAACAGTAAGGAGGAGGAATGGCTCACGGTGGGAGAGTAAGGAGGAAAATCAGTCCAGAAAGAGTGAGGAAGATGAGACGGGGCAAGAGGGAGTGGCAAAACACTCCTAATCCGGAATGATCCAGTGAGTCAATCTTAGTCCAGATTATTCTACTAGTGCCTCAGTGTCTGTGGGACGGACAGGACACAGAGGCAGAGGAGTCTGAACAAGCTGCTGGATCACTTACTCTCATACACAGAATTACTTTTCTTTTTCTGCTTCCATTGGATTATCATCATCATCATCATCATACCCAGAGGGACAACAGCTGAGACACATGGCGCTCCTGAGGTCAGGCTGGCTGTGGAGACAGAGTGAGTTCATACAGGATGGTTTCCAAACATGATCAGCAGGGTTGTTTGACAGCTCTGGCTGTTATGATAAGGAGCAAAATTCCAATTTCTCCAATGTGGGGTTGCAGCAGTACCTGTTTTAAGGTACACCGTGATATGAAAGTTGAAGGTTATCATATTGTGTACATTTGCTTATCTATGATATTTTTACAAAATGCAACTGGGCGGAGAATCTCAACTTTATTTTAGTATTTTCTTTTCAGAAGGGAAGACCTTTCACACAAACTAACATTTAAAAAAAAAAAAAAAGGTTTTCTGTAGGGTTGCAGCAGTCAGTTTTAACTTTACTGTATTTATTTTACACATACTTCCATTAAAGTTTTTTATAGTAATAAAACAATAACAATACCATGAAACCACAATATTTTCTGAGGTGATTATCATACCATTGCAACCCTACACTGATGTGAGGATTTTCAGTTTTCTCCATCTTTTTATTAACTGTTTCTTAGAGAAAATAAACAACTGACCTTTTGCTAAGCCCCGCCCCTTTGTGATGGTAGAGTTAGCATGGAGCCCACACTGTAACTAACTGCACTCCCTGAAGGAATATTATCATATTTTTGGAAAAATGAAACATTGATTCCAGAGAGAAGCAGACAGAGGGACCTACAGTCTGTGTTTGAAGGATATATCCAGGATGTCAAACTGACTCAGCAGCAACAACAGGTTAAAAAGACAAAGACAGTTAGAAGCTAAAGCCGAACTATAGGCTACAGATCACAGTGTAAAAGTGAACCACCACATCACTGCTGATCGCCACAGAACACAATGAATATAAAGATAAACTTTGCTGATATTGAACCAGCTGTGTGGCATCACAGTGTGTGCAGATAAACAGTGGTTGGCGTCCTCTCCGTGCCGCTGCCAGCACCCAGACCTCTGCCGCTGAATGGGCAGGGATCTGCGGGGGAAGTCAAACAACGTTCATCTGCGTATACTGCAATGACACACAGCTGGTTGAATATCAGCAAAGTTTCCCTGCTTCCCTTCACTGGTACCTGTACAGCAGGGTCGGCCTTTGTTTCACTGTTACAATCATTAAAAAGCAAAATCAGCATGTGTATACATTCAGTAGGCTATATCTTCAGTAGCTAGCTAGCTAACCCTACACTTTTCAGGGTTTGATTTTGGAACAGGGAAGACTGACATGGTTGGTGACAACGCCTTTCAACTGGAGAGTCTTCAACACCGGATCACTGACCAGTATCTGCTATTCACCCTGATGAAGACTCTCCAGTTGAAACGCGATGGTTTATCCGTGTATCAATAGCCCCTTTTCCACCAAAATTTCCAGGAACTTTTATTACCAGGAATTTATTTAACTGGGTAAAAGAATTCCTGGTAATCTGTGTGGTTTGCGTTTCCACTGCACCTCAAAGTTTCGGGAAATTTATTCAAATTAGCGTGATGACATAGATGATTCGGCGTGTGCCCTGTATTTGGCTCCACCAGCTTGGCTGGTTACGTGTTGCTAAAGAGTTGGGGCTGTTTGTCTCAACCAGCAGCTCAGTTTAAAAGTATTTTAAGATAAGTGTCAAACTAAGTTAGTCTACATACAGACAGCTGTTATTTGAGCTTATTAGTAACAATTCACTATCAGCTGAACTCGTGTGCTGTCCTTGTGTAAGACATAATGTTAGTGTCGGTGGATGAGAGACTGTGGACGGAGCATATTGAATGTCACTGTCTACGTGTTCTACACATGTATTGATAAAGTACTGGCTTCTTACTCGCTAAGGTTTACTGTCACTTACAGTAACGAGTAGCTGCCGTCAACGAGTCATTTTTGAGTTATCTTCACTTCATTTCCACCACGGCAGCTCAGCTGTTCATCGGTTACCGTGTTGTATAGGCGTGTGTATGTGTGTGTGTACGTATGTGGAGGAGTTCAGCGCCAGCACAGAAGAACCGATACCATTAGCGCTGATCAATACTATGGTCTTTGATAATGTAGCCCCAGGGCTAATTTAGTACCAGGTGTCGGCACCGATCCTTAGTCAAAACACAAACTAAGTGAAGCATACTGCATGTGTGTGTTCCACCAATCAGCGTTCTTCAGCACACAGCCCTGCCCCTCAAGAATTCCGGGTAACTTCAGCATGGCTCTCACCCTCTCCACAACGCTCTGGTCGAACAGAGGAGCACCTTCAGCCAGAGACTGATTGCTCCTAAATGTACCACTGAGTGCCACAGGAAGTCATTCTTACCTGTGGCCATTAAACTGTACAACTCCTCCCTCTGATGATCGGACTCATTTGGCTTTTTATAAAACAAAACACACAATATAATTATAATTACTCATTCTTATTTCATTTATAACGCTACAACCATTTCATTGTATATTGTATATATTTCAGATTGTCTGCTATTTTATTATTTATTTTATTTTATTGTCTACTTTAATATTTTATTTTATTTTATTGTCTACTTTAATATTTTATTTTATTTTATTTTAATGTCTACTTTAATATTTATTTTATTTTATGTTAATGTCTACTTTAATATTTTATTTTATTTATTTATTTCATTGTCTATTTTAGTATCTTATTTATATCTTCATCTTTATCTCTTGTTTCCATTCATGCTGTATTTCTATTTCTACTTTGCACGGAGCATTGGAACAAAAACAATTTCCCCCCGGGGATTAATAAAGTATTCTGAATCTGAATCTGAATCTGTAATCTGAAAAGTCCTACCCCCTACTAGTAGGTACTTTTTCCAGGGAAAGTTTTGGGTTGAGGGAAAGAAAGTCAAAAGCCCGGGTAAATGAGAAAAGTTCCTGCGGTGGAAAAGAGGGTAATGAAGGTACCTTGGATGTACTTTTGGACTGCCTGCCTGTACCATGGACTTTTACACTGAGTGAGCCGGCCAGTCGATGTTTATTATTGTTATGTAACTATTTGCCCTGTTCTGGAAGAGCACCTGATTTTTTATAATTAACCACAGTGCCTTAACCCAGTGCAGCACTCCCGATTTTTTCCTCATTATTATGAGTGTGTTTTCTCCTTTGTTATTTTAAGAAACGCTCTTTAAAATTTTAAAATACATCTCAGTAATGAAAAACATGTTGGCTGTCACAGGAATCAAACATTTGATTTTCCAGTTACAGAACAACAACTGATTATGTACTTTAGACCAACCAATACTTGGTTTGTGGGGCTAGTGTCGATATCTGACAGTTTTTTAAAGAATGAATATTCTTTAAATAACTAAACATTTTCAAAAAGGATCTCTTAAATAGTAAACTTGTTGGTGCTCTCAAACAATTTAACAGAGACAGGACATTTTCTTAGCATTGCTATACTGCAGTTTCTTTCTTCACGTGTAGATATCGATGTATCCATGAGAGGATAAAATCAGTCGATGTATCACTATTGTTTCTGTGGTTTTCAGGATTTTTCAACACCCAGTACATCTTAATCCTTAAACAAAATCCTCACCTGACATTCATCATTCAATATAAACTTGGCTTCAAACAGGTAACTGGGCATTTTCTAGAAAGTGAAAACTGTACCGGTTATGAAACTTCGACCTTTGTAACTTCTAATCCCATTAATTGTCCCTGGCCATGTCCTTAAGTGGCTTACCCAGGACAGTCAATGGGGATGTATCTGCTGGAAAACATACTACATCCAAAAAACACAACCAGGGATGCAGCGATTTATCAGCTGAACATCGGTATCAGCTGATATTCTTCTTATTGAACGCCATCAGCCGGTTGGCATATAAGAAGACATTCAGCAATAGCAGTGGCCGATGCTTTTCTGCTGCGTCACATCTAAAAAGCAGGGCTCCAGACTCATGGCTACAACCTTAAATGAATACTACCTGCCCCTTCAAGGACAAACACTAAAGGTTCACCCTAACATTTGTCTCTTCTCTAGCTTCTTACCTAAAACGCTGGAAGTTAAACTGGTGTGACCTCTGGATAGATGGGAGTCTTTGCTTCTACAAGACTGACAGTAGGCGAGAGTTGGAGCACCGCGTCAGCCTCAAGACATCATGTGTAGATGTGAGATCTGGCCTGGAATGTGGAGGTAAGGCACGCTGCTGTTCAACCTGTATTAAAAAATAATGTTTTGAGCCAACAAGCATTGGTCAAACCCACAAGCATCCATCTTAAAGCTGTACTGGTGGACACAGTGGAGCATTGAGCAGATGAAGAGACAGATATTTGTTGCAAGGCCACTATTTAGAGATGTTATGATCTAATAGGCTGGTTTCAATTTAGAGAAAGCAAAGACTTTAACCAACAATATGCCTTTCCAGTTTTTCAAGACCGGTAGTGCAGACAGCCATCATGCGAGAGTATTAGTATGTACATATACACCGATGAGCCAAAACATTAAAACCACTGGAGGGTGAAGTGATCAACATAGATCATCTTTTTACGACGCAATGTTCGGCTGGGAAACCAGCCGGGAGACCAAATAATCAACAAACGAGTTAGCTACGGTTAGCTAGCAGCTAACTGGTACTATGGTGGACAACTTTACAGCTTTGTATATTTCGTTCGTCAGAAAAAACATGACTCTGGTGGCAGATTTTGCCATGTTGTTTTAGGCCTCTTCATCTATTATGCATTAATGCTTTTGACTTCTGGATCAAAGCTCGGGGCGGAAACGTTGGAGCATGCTCAGAGCGCCTCGGCAAGTTTGAGTCTGATTGACTGCATACATGCAGGAGTAATTCAACTCCCAACCACATTATCTGGGTGTTTTAATTCGACTTTGAGAAATTTGATAGAGTAAAATTTCAGTCGGACTAACACATTTACATGTATGTTAAGTCCAGTTTTAGTCGGACTGACACAATAAATTGATTTCTCTAAAGTCATGTAAATGTACTGACTGTGGCAGACCAAGTATCCCCTTCATGGCAACAGTACTCCCTGGTGGCAGTGGTCCCCCAGTAGGACAGTTCGGCCTTTCTATTCATTAAGTAAAGACAATTAAATCGACTAAATGTTTTCACCACCATTTAAGTAATCATGTTTTTATGTTGAGTGACAGCAGACTGCTTGTTGCGCCAATCAGAAAACATTAACGGATTTTCTCAGCTGATTTTGTAAATCTTAACATGAGCATCTACTGATTCTTAGTTGAATAAAATATATAATAGTAAATATATATCTAGGGATGCACGATAATATCAGCACATCATTGGTATCAGCCAATATCGGATTTAAAAGAAAAGTATTGTATTTCATGTCTCCACCTGCTGGTCGGTATGGGTTATCAGTCAAGTAAGTTGTCACATATTGGCATATCGGATATCCACAAAAAATCCAATAGCCTGCATCGCTTTATAGATCAGCCAAAATGAAATATTTAATGTTTGATCATAAGACTTCGATATGTCTCTGAAGTTTGAACAGACAAAGGACTGTTCAAAATCTGCTCATTTTTGGATGAATTACTTCTTTAACTTGTTTCTGGGCTGCAGGTGTGACTCCACCAGAGAGTAATCCCAGGGAGAATCTCATTGTGGTTCAGCTCGCAAACGGCTCAACAGTCAATCTGTGTGCTAACAGCGAGGACGAATCCATGTACGTACCCTCACTGCACTCATGTCTTGTATGCTCTGCCTCCCTTTACATCAATCCACCAGTTCCTCACTCCTGTTCATGTCTTTTTTCAGAGCGTGGAAACTGACTCTGCTGGACACCAGGAGAAACCCGGTGAGTGATCGATTGCTCTCTGTCAGAGCTGAGACATGATCTGTTCGATGTTTTTGTTATTTCCACCTCAGTGCTTAAAGTTGTCTTTCTGTAGGTGTTCACATACGACCCATACGATGACTCCTACCAGGCTGTGCCCATCAACAGCTACCAGACTGTCTACATCACACCTGGAGCAGGACCAGGTATGTTACCGTAGTGATGCAGGAACACGAAAGCAAACCCCAAGCCAACAAGCATCTTCTACTTGTGCCTTCCAGAAGACTTTGAAAATGGTATGAGATTTTCCTAGTGCATTAACCATCTCAGAAAATATTGTGGTTTCATGGTAACACGGTTTTACGGAGTTATTTTTGTGAGTCAAGTTGACCCTTAAAGGAATGAAACCAGGTTATTTTTGGATGAACAAGTGTTTTTTTTACTATAACTGAAACTTGAAACCATTTTTTTTAAATTAAAGTTTGTGTAAAAAGTAAAATAAAGCTGAAATTGACCACTGCAACCCTTCCTAAAAACTTGTAAGTTTGTATAAAAAGTCTGCCTTTTGAAAATAACTGAAGTTGCTTTTTTTTTTTTTTTACAGTATCATAGATAAGCAAATGTACATGGTATGATAACCATCAATTCTAATATCATGGTATGCGTTAAAACTGGCAACCCAAGTTTAATGACCTCTTCATTCCTTTTTTCTCTTAAACACAGGTAATTTGACTGCAACAGTGATACTGCTTTAAAAGTTGTTTGGTGTAAGGCCCGCATTGGGAAGACTCAACATATTCAATTTTGATTACTTTTAGGCCACCAAAATTAAATATTCTAATATTTCCACATAGAGATGAATTTCAGCCTTCATGTTGGGAAATAAATGCTGTAAATCTTTTTTTTTTTTTTAAGTTAACTGCATACAAAATATTAAAAATCCAAACATTTAAAAACTTTTGAATTTAGTCATTGTTTTGGTGCACTGGGGGAACCTGAATTCACCACCTCAGTCTTTCTAAATTCCTGGCTGAGGCCTTGGCAGTCAGCAGCAACAGTGTTCCTCTGAGTCAGTTTCCTCAAAACATTAAACACTGAGCAACATGGCGAGTGCGCATGCACTGATCAAATACAAGACCAACACATAACCCAGACAGCATTTACAGTGCCTGTAAGCAGCACTAACACACACACACTTAACTGACCTCTCCCCTGCAGATCCCTGGCTGTCTCCTCCTCTCCTCTGTTTCCTCCTGTCCACCATGGAAACTCCAGATAATCCAGCGGAGTCCCACCCAAATGTCAAGCTTCAGTTTAACTTTACTTTAGTACGCCAATTTATGCTTTTCAAGGTCCGCCATTTCCCCCCTCTGTCCTTTATCCTTTCCCACGTAGCTTTACCTGCACAGTGCACACCTGCCAGGCGTGTCGCTTCATTGAACTGTGAGGCGTTCGATTTGTGACACTGAGGGTGCCAGGCGGGCGGTGCATTAAATCAGCAATGAGTAACATAGAACGAAGCAACATTTTTACATAATGTTTTTGTAGAATAATAATGAGAAAGCCACATGTGTTACTGTGCAAATGTTTGATATTGGTTCATATAGAGCAGGAAACAGGAGTGTAAATATAGACAGTGCAGGTAGTGTACACTTGTGTTCAAAGACAAACTCACATTAAATTAAAAATGGTGCCACTTCTGCCATCTTATCTTCTCTTAGGTAAAATAGTCAGTAGCAGTCTATAACACAATCTACATGAACTAGAAAAATGATGAATAAACTATAAAAAAAACTTTTCAATTGAATAAGTATTTTCTTATTTTCTTTGATATTTATGTCATATGGTGGCTCAGAAGGTAGAGTGGGTTGTCCACTAATTGAAAGATCAGTTGTTCAATCCCCGGCTCCTCCAGTCTACATATTGAAGTATCCTTGAGCAAGATACTGAACCCTAGGTTCCTCTTGATGGCTGTTCCATCAGTGTGTGAGTGTTTAAAAAGTGAGTAGCAGGTGGCACTTCATATAGTAGCCTCGGCCACCAGTGTATGAGTGTGTGAATGCGACTCGTAGCATAAAAACTGCATGGGGTGGTTGGAAGACTAGAAAGATGCTACACAAGTGCGGGTTCATCCATATATGCAATGATGATTGTTGGGTCACATGTATGCTGACGTTGCCTAAAGTCAAGTCTCTATTTGATCATGTGACAAGACGATACTATACAGTAGCTAGTTAAGGTGCAAAATCTGTCCAGACTGACAAGCTGAGCACATCTGCAAGTCCAGAGAGCAGTCATGTCTTTCAAACAGAATATCAACTGGGTTAATAAAGCCAAGACACCTTCACAAGGAGCCCCATTACATTTAGGATCAGTGCACAATGTACCACATTTATTTGGCGTACAGTAGGACTAAAAGGTGTAGACTGTTTCTGGTGAAAATCAAACATGGCATGTGTCTCCCTGTGTCTTTTCTCTCAGGAACCCACCAGGTGATCGTGCAGAGGGACCCGTTTGATGGAATTTTAGAGAACATAGCACTGGGATTACTGGCAGGCATGGCAGCAGGGACGGCCATGCGATCCTTCCTCTGGATGCCCTTCTTCTTCTGCTGAGATCATTATCATTACCAACATGATGACGCTGCACGCCGCCTGTGTGGGAGCCTGACATCAGCATGTGTAGAAACACCTCATCTTTTGTATCGTCTCTTTTCAGATCATGTCTGCTGTAACAAACAGCTGCTCCTCTGGTTGTTCCGTTTACTTCATGTGCACTTTTGCATATAAGAAGCTGAGAAGGACGCTATGTAATTATACATTCCCCGTGCTTGTGTGTACAGCACACTGAATCTATGCATGCGCATCTGCAAACATCTGGAAGGTAATTTTGTATCTGAATGTTCTTCAATCTGCTGCCTGAATTTTACACTTCATAGCTTGATCATAGTGTAGCCTATAAAAGGAAATAAACTGATGTATTTAAATCACAAACAAAGCTGTATTATCAATTTTTGAGCAATATTATTTTAGTTTAACAGAATCATCCCAACTAAGGGTCGACTGACAAGCTTTTCCTCGAGCTTTCAACCATATTACAAGGTCTTCATCGGTGGATGGAGCTGCCTCAGTTGTCACGGAGATAGATCTGTTGAAACACAAACTGTTCGGACTTCATCCAAAGCATTTCTTTAAGGACGTCTAGCCTGAATTGTGTTGACTTAAAAGTTAAAGATCCAAAAGAGGCGACCTCTGCTGATGAAGACTGTGTGATATGGTTGAAAGCTCAGGAAAAAGGTATCATTCGTCCAATTCAAGAATGAACTTCAATGGGTATGTCTTAATCCAACACAGATGGGAAGTCGCAAAAATGCTTTGGATGAAAACAGCTTCTGAACATGCTCCATGTGCTAAGGAAGACCATGAAACTGTGTTTAAAAGCTCTACAGAAAGCTAATAAGTAGACCTTGAGTGAAGATTTATATGCCTCTGTGCCACAGACTGCCGTGGCCGAAGGCATTATGTTTTTTGGGTTGTCCACCCGTCACATTCTTGTTAAAAGCATATCTCTAGAATGCCATAAGGGAATTTTTTTTAAGCTGGCACAAACACTTGCAGGGTTCCCACGGTCATGGAAAACTTGGAAGGGTCATGGAATTTCCTCATCACTTTTTTCCGGTCTGGAAAAGTCATGGAATTAGAAAAATCATTGAAAGTTTTGTAAAAGCCATGGAATTTTCATGTGTGATACAATTCTTACAGTAATCATCGATGGATAACCTTCCACATAATGTAACATGATGTACTTTACAGACCTCTAAGCCGACTCAGAGTGGTGACTCAGCATTTTTTGCGCATATGTGAACACTCCAAGAGAACTCAGACCCCTCTGAAGTGAACCAAACTCAGACCCTTGGGAGGTGGTCTGAGTATGGTTCACTTTAAGTCCTTAGTTTGGTTCGCTTAACCTGTGCCCTGTGAACACAAAGCGCTCCAGGTTCACTTTGCTCTTTCCCATTGTATTCAGCCATCTAGATCAAATGCTGTTGCACCAGGACGCATGAAAAAACAGAAAAGACCATGTCAGCCTGTAATGCTTGCAAGGACGCAGGATGGCCCTAAATACGCGTTATTTTAAGCCTTTATGAAATGTAAACAGGTGAGTTATAAAAAATACACTGCCTGTACAGTTGTCATGAATGTTGAAATTTGCTACAGAAACCAAAATCATTTTTTGTACCAGGCTGTAAACATGTTTATTTCTGTTGTAAATTTGGGCATTTTAACACGGGGGTCTATGGGGATTGACTCTCTTTTGGAGCCAGCCTCAAGTGGCCATTTGAGGAACTGCAGTTTGTGGCACTTCAGCAATGGCTTCAATTTTCAGCCTCGGAAGTTGCTGCTTGAGTAAGTCACAAGCAGCAACCTCCAAGGCTGAAAATTGAAGCCAATGCTGAAGTTTTCAATTTTCAGCATTGGCTTCAATTTTCAGCCTCAGAGGTTGCTGCTTGAGTAAGTAGCAACCTCTGAGGCTGAAAATTGAAGCCAATTTTCAATTTTCAGTAAGTCACAATTTTATATTCATTATTGATTATATCCAAAAAGTTATTTTTACTCTGTTTGTACCAACGCATTGATAACAGTACTAAGAGGAAAGGTTGTTTTTTTCATTCTAATGATAATGCAATCACCTCAACAGACAGACAGAAGAACCTGAAAATTTATTCCAACATGTTGACAATTCTGAGAATTGCAGATTGTTGTTGCTTTGCCACATTTTCAGATTCAGTCTGAACTTAATAAGATGAACTACTTGTTCAATCTAAAAAAAATATATATATCTCTGCGATGCCAGTCCCACATCCTAATCCTGAAGTCAAACTCCCATTCACAGCTGGTGTCGTTCTCTGGTAGCGTAGCAGCTCCCGTAGCTCCAGCCTTTCCACTCTCTGAGCTCTGTTGTTTCTTGATTTGCTGAAAGCAAAAATTCTCCAGTGGCGTATTAAGAAATGTAGCAATCCCAAAGCTTGCCTCTAATTGTATAAATCCAGTTGAAGACATCTGGCATCAACTACTGTTTAAAATCTCACAACAGCATATTTGGCAAGTACAAAAACTCAGTGATTACAGCTGAAATTTAGTGTAGCACATTGTCTTTAAAAAAATAGAGATCACTTGAAGCATTTAACCAGAACTTCCCTTCTGTTACTCCTCCTTACATGTGACTCCTCTCTGAGCATGTCCATTCACTTGCCCTTTACCCTTCACTCTGTCGTCTCCCAACTTTCCCTCTGCTTCAAGTTTCCGGATCAGATCAAGAGGACCCTTCCCCATCAGACCCGACGGGTGCCTGTACGAGCCTCCCAGGCGGTCCCACAGGGTGAAGTATTGGCCGTAATTGTACTCGAAGAAGAGGTGGTGGTCGGTGTGGTGAGCTGAGCCATTGATGGCACCCGTCAGAGCGCCAGGGACGCGAAAGTCACCGTCGTGGATCGAGATGGTCCAGATGTTGACAAAAACGTACAGGGCCAGGTATAGCACCTTGTGGAGGGGGAAGAGGAAGGGGTAGATGTGGTACGGGAGTCCCTGCATGAAGCCGTCGACTGGATGGAAGGCGTGGCTGGCGAAGGGAGTGGGGATCTTCCATATGTGGTGGGGTTTGTGAAACAGCTGTTGAGCGGAAGGAAGCAAAGAGGGTGGAGAGAGAAAGTTATTGTGTTCTTTAAGAATCCTTACAACTGTGATTTTATCTGACACTTTCATATGGTTTCCATTTATTTAAGGTATGCATAAAAAAAGTGTCTAATAGTTCATGGTATAAAGAGCCTAAGTTAACAACTGTAACTCTGACAAATACACCATGCTTGATTTCAACACACTTTACAGACTATGGGTTGTAGCCACAGCAGTAGTGGGCAAATCACATGTTGCATTAAATCAAAGAATGCTTGCAGTGATTGGCTACAAGCAAAATCATTAAAATAGCCTTTTTTTTCTAGATCTGCTAGGAAAAGCATCAAATGCAGGTATTATTTGACTGGAGAAGTGTCAGTGCTAATTGGCACTCGGTTGTTTCGGTCGATACGTCAAAGTCTGGGTAAAGCAAAAATAAACTAAGCACAAAAAGTAAGGAAAATTGTGTTTGGCAGGTTATTTCTTTATTGTAACAATGCTTCTTGGCAATAAGTCTTATACCATTGGAAAGCCTGTTTATTTCCCTTTTAAATGGTGCCACGTTTGTAAGGAACATGCATTTGTGGGATGAGCAGCAGAGTTGAGTATGTGGGTTGCACCCATGAAGCATTTGCCAAATCTTCTCTGCCAATGCCAAACAGCTTTTTTTTTTGCTGTTGACTCTTGGTGGTGGATTGGATGATTGAAGTCTGAAGAAACAACACATATTGGCAATTTAACAGTTCATTCATTTAACAAACAGGAGCCTCAGTAGCATGTGGAAGAACCATACAACACCAAACAAGAGTCAGAAGATTTGGCAAATGTTTCATGGCTGTAACCCACATACTCAGCTCTGCATCCCATAAATGCATGTTCCCTACAAATGTGGCACCATTTAAAAAGGAAATAAACAAGCTCTCCAACAGTATAAAATTTATTGCCAAGAAGCATTGTTAGAACAAAGAAATAATCTACCAGACACAAGTTTCCTTACTTTTTGTGCTTAGTTTAGATATGTGTAATGAGTTTGTCACACCGCTGAAAAATGTGTTAATAGTCACTCAGCCAAATTTGATTGATTAAAAAAGCCTTAAAGGGGCAAAAAGCGAAATCGTTTCACTGCTAGGTTTGCTGTTGTGCACTACCTGTAGACCAAAACAAAGTGTGTCATGAGCCACACCTCCCTCTCCCTCTACCTCTGCCCCGGTTTCACTACAGGTAGATTCACTCGCCACAGGGGCGAGGAAATAAAACCTAAACAGCCAACTTAGTTTGGCTTAGTTTAGCAGTTAGCGATGTCTTTTACTCACTCTCGGTCTCTGCTGTGTTTAGCTATTTCCCTGCTTTCCTGTTAGCGTTAGCACTAGTCGGCTGCTACGCTAACGTTCCTACTCCTCTCCGTGAGGCTCCGGCTCACGCAGAGGAGTAGGAACGTTAGCGTTAGCTCCCGGAGTTATTACTAGAGCTACTACGGCTACTGGAGTAACTTAGAGCTATGGAGCGCTTCTACCAGCTTTTCTAGTCACTGAGCCTCGCCTCCATCTCAGCAAATATATTACATTTATTACAGCTACCATCATCATTGAAGTAGGCAGGGGAATAGCTAAGCTAAACACTAAGCTAAGCTAAACACAGCCCGCCAGGCTGCCCGCCGGGCTACATTTTACAATGCTAATTGCAAATGTTAGCTGGGCTGCCGGGCTCAGCGTTGCCAGGTGCTGACAGGTGTAAGGCCCTGTCCAAATACCTGCACTTGCACCCTGAGGTCTTCCCTGAAGTGCACTTGCCAAAAGTGCAGTTAGGGGCGTAAGTGTGCAAGGGATCGACGCTGTTTAAAAAGGGGAATTGGGACAGTTGCGTACATGTCACTTCCGTTTGGGTCCAGCTGGTCCGTCTCCTAGGAGACGAAACATGGCGTTAGAGGAAATAACGTTCGCAGCACTGCTGCTGCAAATGATAAATAGATACAATCAGCGAATGATGAGGAGGATTAGGAGTGTAGTGTAAGATTTAATCTTTAATCAGATAAAAGTGTTAAACTGCATAAGTTGATTAAGAGTGAAGTTCATATAACCATGTTTTAGATAAAAGTGTTAAACTACATAAGTTGATTAAGAGTGAAGTTCATATAACCATGTTTTATGTTACCAGTTCCTATAAAACTGTTTGTTATGCATCTATGTGTGATAAACCAAGGTTATACAAGTTTATGTATTCATAACACAGGGTTTTGCATTCACATTGAAGAACACACATACACCACACCATGTATTGTTTAATAATAACACACACACACTCTTTAATGTTTGTATTCCATGACACACATTCTAAGCTCACACTGCATGAACGCACAGGGGACTGTATAGAGAAAGTCCCCAAGTTTTATATATTTTTAAAAAATAAAGTGAAACCAGGCTCAAATCTAATGGTGGGAGAATTTGGGGATTTCCAGGCCTAGGTCATGTTTGGGCAAGGGCCCAAGGGGCCTACTACCAATAGATTTGGACCAGATGGGAAAAGGCTAGAAAGAAAAGGATCTGCCACCAATAGGTTTGGGTTTAGGTGGGCAGGATTAAAGGAAAAGGGTGGGGATTCTCT